TTAAATTTGAAAAGTCTATTATGCCAGATTCTAAAAGTTTGGACGTTACTATCACTATTCTGTATGGAAAAAAGATATTATTAATATTGTTTTATCATTCTAAGGTATTTTTTGTTAAATTACCTGCTGGGAGCGCTTTGCTTCAAGCGATCCAAAAGTAAATTGGTAAGTAAAAAATGGCCCAAATGATTTACTCCAAAGTGAATTTCGAAACCATCTTTTGTTAATGCATGATCTTTAAGTGGTGCATATACACCAGCATTATTAATCAATACATGAATGTGAGGAAAAGTTTTTAGCACTTTATTGACAAATTCTCTGATGGATGCAAAGGATGCGAGATCTAACTCCATTGGAATCTATGTAATTAAAAAGAAATAATATTTATTAAGAATATATTTATATGCATGTGTATGTGTGTATGCATGTATATGTAAAATAATGAAATGTACATGTATTAAAATAAAAAAAGAAGAAAAAAAAAATGTAAAAGTTCAACATTTATTCATGTATAGAGGAGATAAATGAAAATTGTTTGATTACGGAAGCATTATGATTACCAATTCGCCGGTAGATATTTTATTCCGTATTTCAACTATAACGTTCTTTGTACTCTGCATATCTTTACAAGCCATGATTATCGTGGCTTTTCGTTTGGCCAATTCCTTAACTGTCTCTTTCCCAATACCAGAATTCGCTCCCGTGACGAGAAATACTTGGCCTTGCAGATTGCTGGTACTCCTGCATCTTCCCCAACTGCGTTCGCGACACTTGCGGAGCAAGCCGATAAGCAAAATCGGTAGAATAAAGTAACACCACGAAGATACCATATCGACGATAGTTTTATAGTAGTAACTTTGAAACACCAGAGAGAGATAAAGAGAGATTGTTCCGAAAGAGTCTAGAGCGATATGACTAATGTTAAATGCGTGGCTGCTAATGCATATTATAATTATAAATGTAGCGTGACTTGCGCGTAAGCGTATTTCTCGTTATCGCTCATTCAAATTCAATTGAAATGAAACGGTCTTATTCCTTTCTCTCTCGTTTCAGTCTAATTTATCGAATGCGGTAACATAACAGCATGATTACAGCCGGAATGCATGATCTGTCATGCGACGTACGATCGAGCGTTCGAGTTATGAGTTAAATTTTATCTCGAGTGCTTTGAGTATATATATTCTCGCATCTCGAGCGAAATAAATAATGCAACTGCAACATCATTATTACTATCTGTTCTGTCGCACAAACACACACAAATGCTGTGGCATAAACGACTCCAACCTCCAACCTCCAACTGCTCCTCCAGTCTCTTTCAGTTCGAGGTCGCATAAGGTCGGATTTACAATAGGTGTAGTAAGCTCTAAAGTCCCTTGCACAATGCCAGACAACAGGCAATAGGATAAGAAATAGAAAATATCCACCAATAAAAGCAGAGAATAATATTTATCTACTTTTCCGATTGGTTACATATGTAAAGGTGGAGCAAATTAAAACAAAAACGGAGCAATTTTTCTGTACCTTCAGAACCTACAAATTCTAATGATTTTCGTTTGTATTGAAGCTTACATTGTTATTAACTTTATTATTTATTTATGTAAAAAGTAATATGAAGCAAATTCTGAATTATAGATATTATGGAAAAGCAAATTAAGTCTTTTAAGAATTTTTTGTGCCTGGAAAATGTATTATTGCTAGCGTCAGTGGCTGGAAGTTTAAAATTTAAAAAATGGCGCGCAATTTCTGTTAAGGTCCTTCTACAATGGAGTGTCGTAGGCTGTAGTCGTAAGAAATTAACAAACCACAGTCGATTATTTCAAAAATAATCAATTGTGATAGGTCAATTTCTTACGACTACCACCTACGATACTCCATTGTAGAATGGCCTTTATAATACCTCGTTTCGTACAAAAAATAAAGTTTTGCAAAGAAATTTTTTTAAATTTTTTGCGCACATTCATCAAAATTAATCGATGATACAAAATAATAATTATTATTTGCAATTTGACTAATATAAATTAGTGCTTTTTCTTTTATTTTTATAAGTATAAATTATTTAAAGATTAATTATTCAAAAACTATAAAATTTTTATTAAAGAAAAAGACATCACATGCAAACATTTGCAAACGGACCAAAAATCTGAAATGACAACAATGTCATCTTTTAGATATTGTAGTAAACATATATAAATAAAAGAATGATAATGCTTATAAAGTTTATTTAATTATATTGGATGCAAGATATTGATAAAAAAATATATTTGCCATGTGATTGTATCTTGCAATATTTGACTATATATAATATATATATATATATATATATATATATATATAGATTTATATGTACTCACATTTGTTCATCATTACATTAATATTAATTTACATATATATAATGTTAATATTATGACTCGCTATTAATTTTATAAAATAAAAAATGAAATGATAAGATTATAACTGCCATTTCATGTGTTATTCAAATTAATGATTTACATATATATATATATATATATATATATATATATATATATATATGGACTAGCTCATGCATACACACATATATGTTTTAATAAATTATATATATTTAATTATATTAAATTTCAATAATACCAAAATTGTGTGGAACAAGTTAAGGCACACTATACCATATAACTTTTCTACATCTGGAAATCGACATATATCATAAAATGCATATATAAATATAATTCTATAAATATAATTATAAAAGATAATTTTTTTCTTTTAAATATATGTAGATACAGATCTTCAAGTGGACGTTTTCTTATTCAATAATATCAATTCGAAGAAATGAGAATTAATAGGCCTCACATTACATTAATAGGCCTCACATTGTGTGCACATTATACACATATACATACATCAGTACATAATGTGCACAGAAGAAAAATTATATATATATATATATATATATATAATTTTTTCAAGTGTTATAATCTAAAAATACGTTTTCTTTGTTACTTTTCATATAAACAATATTTCTCATTCGCAATTATGATTATTCATCATCACATTATCAGGAAAATTTCGAGTTTGATAAAAGTGAATTTTATTGTAAATATAAATTTATATTCTATTATGAATAGAGCGTTTTTTCTATCCATTCTTCCATCGTAAACGTAGCTGTATTGGTTTGATCTGGATCTCTCTCTCTGAAAATGTCTGTAACAGGGACCAAAAATGTAATTGACATTTTATTAATAATTGATAATAGTTACATTATGTATATATATATATATATATATATATATATATTATTTATTTATTTATTTATATATTATACGTTAATATATAATGTGTTGTGATGAAGAGTGTAATATATGAAAACAAAAACATATACAAATTTTATTAAATATAATTGTCACTTACCAATCATTGTTTTAAGCCTGACTGCACACATAATGTAATCATCAAAAGTAATCTTGCCATCTTTAGTGCCGTAACGATGAACCAAAATATTTAGAATATGATTATTCAAACGATATCCAGCACTATTTAACGCTTGTCTTAATTCGAATGCACTTAGATATCCTGATTCATCTCTGTCGTATAGTTTGAAAACAGCCTAAATTTTATTTATATTAAATTTATTATACTATTACTGATACTCATATAGGATTTTATTAAATTAGAAGGTTTCAAATAACTGAATAAAAAATATTTTATGTCTACTTACCCTCCACTTTCTAATGTCATTCCACAATGTTTTAAATTCTTCAAAACCAAGTTTTCCAGAGTGATCTACATCCAACATAGCAACCATACTGCGACATATATCTTTGCTGAATCCTCTGTCGTGTGTGTCTGTAACATAAGAAAAAAAATTTTTTGTACATTATAGCGTTACCAATCGTGATTTTCACTTTAAAAAATTTATATACAATAAAAATTTTTGCATAAAAATATGGTAAAAATATTCTATATAACTTTTTTTAAATGTCCAAAATGGAACATGTTAAAGATAACAAAATGTCAAAACGTTGCAAAAGAGAATTTTTTAGACACTAACGCTTTAAGGTACAAATTGTATTGCAAAACACAAATATCGACGAATTTAAATGTTGTACGTTTCATACCTCTCTATATTAATTGAAGAAGCATGCACAATTGATTAGTTCCGCCTGTCTTGCAAAGTTTTAAATTACAGTGTCAATCTGCTTACACTATCCTGACAAATGCTGATGCAATCTCTGATATACATATATACATGTCACTGCCTATTATTGGCGAAAGTGTATTTCAATTGTATGTTGTTAACATTAAAAATAAATAATTGAACAAATATAACAAATCGTAAAGACAAAACAAAACTGATAAAACAATTTTATAATAAAAGAGATTGCCTTACCTATGGGTTTATTGTATTGTTCATTATTACAAATAATGCCGCATAACAATGAGATGAGAGTGTTGAGAAATGAATCATTGCCTTCAACATTTTCAGGAACATGTGCCTCGCTATGATGCGCCAACTGCAGTAATTCTACCCATAACACACATAGCTATGTTAACATAGAATTTTACATATCTACACTTGAGTCATAAGAATCCATAATATATAAAAGAGAATTTATTACATTAAGACTAAAGTTTTAATTCGTATTTCTCTAATTTTTATACGACCTCCAAATTTTAGCTCCATTTAAGAGCCAAACATTTTTAATATAAATAAATGTTGTTTGTATGCAAGTACATGTGCAATTTTTATAATTAATTAAATTAAAGAATTTTTCGAAATAATGATGGTAATTCTGAGAATCATAGGTGGGTGCGTATATATATATATATATATATATATATATATATATATTTATTTATTTATTTATTTAAGAGACCCAAATGTATTTATGTACTATAGATATGAATTATAAGGTAAGAGAAATAAGCATGCGAATTTATTAACATGATTATTAAAATGCTTCTTTTTTTGTACAGCATGCTGAGCGACTAAATAAGTTACTTTTTTAATAAAAAATTGGTAAAAAATTTATAATAAATTAATTAGCTATAAAGCTGAAAACAAATAGCACAGATATTAAATAAATAATATTTGATTAATATAGCATAAAATTAATGATGAGACTATACAATCTTATAGATGATTGTAAGAAACGTTAAAAACAATTAAGCAAAAAGATTATCAAAAGCTACAAAAAAGCAAAGCTTCATAATAATTAAAATATAATACAAATTACATATGTTTGTAGGGAAATATTGATTTAATAACTATACTTATATATCTATGTATATACTATTATATGTAGAATATGTAATAAAAATTACATCTCACATACATTAGATATTTCATATTATTTTATATTATTTCAGATAATACAAAATAATATATTTTAGAAGAATATTTTATATTATTTTATTTACCTTTTTTCATGGCAAAATCTAAGATGTCTTTAAGTTCCATCCAATCTACTTCCATGTCATCACCAGCAAGTTTCTTGAAAAATTCCCTAACTTTTTCGGTATTGCGATCTTGTTCGGGTTCATCGCGAACCTAAAAATTATAAAAATAAATCTTTAATATGAGAAACATAATCTCTGAAAAGTCTGCATTTTCCCATAAAATTTAAATTCTAAACAGCTTCGTTACATATGTAATAGTTTTAATTTCAACAAGATATGTAAGATCCATGTTGTGGATATATAACAAATATACAAAATACAAGTACAAAATTATACAAAAATGTGCATATAGAATATAGAAGAATTTCAAAATTTAAAACTGTACACAAAGTTATTAGTATAAGCTTGAGCATATAATAATCCAGCGATAGCATATTTCCTTTTACCTCTTGTAATTGTGTATATAACATGTACCATAGTTTTTTATATACCATTATGTAATGTACACACAGACATGCATTTTACTTACATTATCTTCATCATGCCCCTCTTTATTGCTGACAGAGTTAATCACCTAAAAGCCAAGCGACAACACACATGCAAATCATTATGTGTTAGTAACTACTACACTGCAAATAGACGATATCCTATGTAATAATTCACAATCAAGTATAGATAGCAAATGTTAAATAAAGACAAAAGTTAGTTTTGTAGGCGTGAGCTGAATACTAAGCTCATAGTGCTGATTAATTCTCCAATTTGTATAATTAGCGTTACAAATATTGTAATTGCAAGCTCTTGTTAACATGTATTATATGTACTTATCAAGCTGTGTCAATGTCATTATCAGTGAATTATCAGTAGTTATTTAGTAAATTAAAGAAAATGTATATCACTTTCAGTATAAAATATAATTAATCCTAAACAGTATTTATATAATCTGAAAGTCTTTCAATTTCACAATACGTTTACAAACTTTACGTAATTATTCAATTTTTGAAAATAGACAAACTTTGGGAACATATCCTGTTGTGATAAGATTTTGAGAATATTACTAGCAATTATCAACTTGTTATAATAAATAAATGAATTTGTACTGTTTAGTATTAAGTTACTATTGTACATGTATCGATTATTTCGATTTATTAAAATATCGCACAATTATAGCATAATTCTTACCCTATCATCGACTTCTCCAACACCAACTTCTTCATCGTTTTCTCTGTAAATGAAGAAAACATTTTGGAAAAAATTCTGCATGAGACAAGTATCGTTATATAACAAGACTTACTCCATATTGTTTTTATTTTCAGAGAAGATTCTTAGCAAAAATTCACCCTCTTCATTTGGGTCAAAAGTACTTGGAACTATGCAGTATGCGCCCGGTGGTAATTTGAAACGACACGTAACTTCCCGTAAGTTTATAAATGCTGGTGAACGTCCGACAGACGCGTTGTACTTGAAGAAGTTTATGTCTAGCGGTTTTGGCAGCCTTTCTGGATACTCCAACTAGAGCAATTAAAAATTAATGTAACTAAAAATTTCATATTTTTCAGATTTTATTTTTGAGTGTTATTCCTTTCATCAATTTGATATTTTATCCTTATTTACTCTATATTTTCTCACGCACGCACGCACGCACGCACGCACGCACGCACGCACGCACGCACGCACGCGCGCGCGCGCACACACACACACACACACACACACAAGCATACAAGTGTTAAGGCTATATATATATATATATATATATATATATATATATATATATACACACACACACAATAAACTGTATGCACAATGAGAAATTATACAATTTTAAGGTATCAAAAGCAAAATGATACCTCGAACATTTAGACAATTTGAATTAATCCAAATACTATTCAGATTCCTATTTCAATGTATTATACATATAAGATTTGCCAAGAATGATATAAAGTAAATCAATTAATTTCACGTACGTGATATATCGCGAATCCAATAGTGAGACAATCGGCACCCATCCTTTTTTGCGCTCTTCTGTTTTTCTGCATCAGAGCGACGATTACGGTACATTTGTCATCGTCATCATCTGGATATTCTAAGGTGATACGATATTGCGGATTGTGCCAGAAGGTTTCTGCGAGATAAATATGTTTAATTCAATTTTGTTTTCTATGAAATTGGAAGTAGTCCTCTATCCGATATTTAAGTATAGCTCACCTAAATAGTTTCTACAACCACCAGCTGTTACACCGCGCACCCATTCTCCCTCAAACACACTCATCTCCCAACGCTTCTTCCCGGCGTTGATTTCGTCTGCAGTTAAGGAATCGGGATTTAAGTTACATATCTCAAGTTGAGTAAAATGGCGTGTAAAATCATGAAACGACATCCAAAATTCGCCGTCCATATCAAAAGTTAAACCAAGCTCTTCCTTTTCGTGATCAGGGATGAATCTCCATTCCGGTGATCTGTCGACATACGATAAAGGGGGTAAACTTGACGAAATCATCCGCACATTAGTAAAACGACTCACTGATCACTCCAAGGCCCATTCCATTCTGCTTCGTTTCCCCAAGGATTTCGAAGTCTCAAAAGAGGTATAGTACCATACTGATTCGGTGTTTGAATCTCTACGTGCTTTACACGAGTAACGCTGTATGCATGACCACGTATCAATCCCTGAGGTGTTTCGGCCTCTACTATGTTTGGATCGGGCTAAAAGTGTTATACATTTATATAGTTGAGTTAATAAAATAAAATATATATTAAGAATTTGTGAATGCAGTTAAAATTGCATATTTATTTATATGAATTACTCGAGCAAAACAAATTAAATAATTATATTACACGCATGTGTAAGGCAAGTAGATATTACTACTACATGTCTGTTATTTAATATAAATACATTATTAATTAAAAATTTTTATATTTTGTTATTTACTCTCCTAGATAGATTTGCCAAAACCATTATATACACAAAATTAAAATAAATTAAAATTTTTAATCATAACTATTAAATCTATTAGTCAAGGCTGTACATGTATCGCTTTATATGTCTCGTACATTTCTGTCCATAAAAAATAAATATATTTTAATTTGATAGATATAATTCTACCGTTGTCGCAAATGATAATCTAAAATAAGTTAATTGCAAAATATTACAAGTACAAAGGATCAATTGAAATAATGATTATTTGTGAAGAGGCTGATAAAAGCAAATAAAAAATGGCTATATTACCTCGATGGAGCAGCCTAATAATGAATTTCTTTCAAATGCTTTTAACAGTATGTTAAACAAGTTTGGTGGTGTTTGATCCATTTGATACATTTCTGTCAGTCCACCAGTAAAGTCCTCCATGGCTTCGCAGGTTGAGCCACCTTTTAACGCCTCGTAAGAGCCATGAAGTTTCGCATATGCTTTCTCGAGAAGAGCGCTCCAGAATTCGTTACTTTCAGCCGAATGCAGATATACCAATTCCCCATGAGAGGTAGGCAATCGATCGTCGATCACCACGTCGACCCATCTGCCATATTGCCAAAACCTATGATGATATATAGCTTGTATAAATAAATTATATTCAAACTAATTCGTAAATGGATCAATGAATATGAATCAATGGACTCTAGATTTTTAGACACATCGCAGAACATTCGGACAAAAAATTTAGTCGCAACATTTTCTAACTCGATAAACGCGTAAACAATTTTAAGTTATGTTATAATTCTTTTGATTCAGAGAGAAGAGATAAGTAATAAAAAAAATGTAAATTATATTATTTTACTAGGTCGAAAATTACGTTCATCTTAAGTAAATACATTTTTTCCTTTTTTTCGAACCTAAAATGGAAGATTCCAGCGTAATTTTCCTCGAAACTCTGATCTTCTGGTACTACTTGAAAGAATAAATTTGAATGCATTGTCAAATTCGCTACGGCGGCCAATAACCAGCAATCTCCTAACTCTCCTTGCTGAACATCAAATCTTGAGAAACCCTCTATGAAAAGTTGAGGATTATCTGCGATTTCCTGTAAAGTACAGCACATTTATTACGTTTATGTATTATAAATGCATATAAACAATGTAAGACAAGTATTATAATTTCATATATACTATATGTAAATAGTTTAGGAAATTTCTGACCATTGGTCGCTTCCATTCTATGTATCTATCAGATCTGCGGGAAAAGTATAGCGACGAATCGTTGGCTGGGAATTCAGGATCCTCGAACAGTCGTCCTGTCGCCAGGCATTCTCGTCTCAGCGTGTTAAAGTCTTGGATCGCTCCTCGTGGTCTAAAGCCAGAACCTTTCTCTCCTAACTGTAGACATCGGTTCGTATTAATATGAGATTTATTTTCAAAAATTGACGAGTTTAAAAATTTGCTGGATGGCATACGTTATAACAAGATTTTCCAATGAAATTGTTTACAGTTCGTATAGCTTTATCCTCGTAAGATGTTTTTTCTTGGAACAAGTTTAAACGCTCATCTTTTATTACAGGATCGTCCAGTTTATTCGGGAAGCTCACTTTTGAATTGGGAGTAAATTCAAATTTGGAAGAGTATAGGATATTTTTGCCGATTGTTCTGTCGTTCGTAAACTTAACGGACTTGATACTCGATCTAATTTTCAAAACTGCAAGACCTTCTTGCATATAATTGGAATAACGATAATTAGCGTATTTATCACGTAGTAGATCCATCTCCCGATTGAATTGACGAGGATAAGTCGTTTGTTCGTATACGTATAAAAATAAAAAAAAAAAAAAAAAAACAAAGAGACGCAGGTGCGGAAAATAATTACACGTATTCAAAGTAGATGTCGAAAAAGAAACGTGCACCCAATACCGAACAAAGAACAAAACTATTCGTTACCGCGAAAAAAACTATACTGTTATATATACTTGAAAGTTTTGATATAATTATCACTACTGTGTAGTATACCTATAGAGTTATCATATATACCGGATGATCAAATTAACCACAATTTAGACTGTGATATGGTATTTGATAATTATATATTATGACAAACAGTTGCACACACATATTTAAAAAATATTTAAAAACTTATATATAAATGGCAATGCAAGAATGCACTCTTAAAGATGATATGTATATATCATCTTATAAGCTGGAACCAAAAAAAATCTATAAATATAATTTTGCATATATCATGTTTATTTATACGGTATTATTAATATTTATTATTAAGTATATAATTTAAATATGTTTGGAAATGTTAAAGTTGAAGACTTTATTCTGATTAAGTAAAACTAAATTAATGCAATCTTTAGCGATTGAATAAGAAAATTTATTTATTTTATCTGTTTTGGTTTCGTTTGATTTTACAATCTTTGAAAATTATTCTCAATACTTAAATTTTTAAAATCCTTTATTTTCAAATACCTTAATGATATATCGTCAATGACTTTATAAATACGCATTTACGTTTCAAATTAGAGTAAATTTTGAGTAAAATAGTATAAACGATGATAAAATAATTGATTTATTCTCCTCCCTCCCCCCACAATCTAATTATCAATTACAAATTATAAAAATATAACTAGAGGGAATAATTTTTATGAAATTATATTTTAAAGGCAACTGTTGTATATTTAATTATTCAGTTTATCTATGTATGTTTAATATATGTATACATATGATACATATATTGTACAATAATGAAAATCGACGTTTCTAATTTAAATGACAATATCTATATATCTGATGAAAGTTTTATTTTTGACAGACATATGTTTGACGAAAGTGATTTAAAAATATTCGTGACCAGAATATTGTATATACAAGTAATCTTTGTTTCAACCGTATGAGACATAGATCAAAAATTCTTTAAAAACATGATGTATGAATTGTTAATATCTTATTGAAACAAAGTATGCAAGTTCTCTTATTCATAGACCGGCTTTTTAGCTTTGAGTCATATAGCATACCACTTTGATATTGAAGAGTGATGGTAGAAATCGTTTGACCTCGACTGCCGCCTTAACGAATACATCCTCCGCACCATCTCCGTAGTAACTCATTCTCTTGGTTTACACTCGAAGAAATTAGATCGAATGTCGCGAATTGTTTTGAGTCGATTAACCGAGAGAACAATATGCAGCGCGAATATATCGGTCGTTTAACTTGATCTATAACCTATAACTGACGTTTGTAACTGACATAAGAAAACACAAAATGATACTCCCGATGACTCTCGTTCACGTATAAAACCGTTACTCCGACAGACAGATGGGCCGGGCCGGGCACGGCTTATCCTCACCTTCATGACGTTTTCTCATCGCGTTTCGTCACGCGCGTGAACCATCTGGCTAAATGCGCACCAGCGAGCACGTGGTTTTAAAAGCGCGATCGTTTAAAGGTGCGCGTTCATTACTTGCAACTTACGATGTGCACAAATTCAAATTTCCTTTCATTCAATCCATCACGTTAAGCAAAGAGTCACGATAGTTATTTTAAAAAGGAAATGGAACAAAATTGCTTCCAATATTATATGTATAAATATAATATATAGTATAAAACAACAACAAAAATTAAAATATAATACTTGAGAAAGAGAGAGAGAGAATAAAGAAAATGGAAAGTAAAATTGTACATTTAAAAAATAATAAAATTATTCTCCCTTTCTCTCTTTGAATTTATAGCTTTTATACCTCTCCTCTCACACACTTCTTGCTTTAGTTAAAAAGAACAATATACAATTATGCGTTTTTTGATGATTCTGTATACACGTGCTATTAATTTCGTCGCACCATCTAGGATATATTAATTAGTCCAATATATTCATACACGCGCAAATTCTAAATTATATTTTAAATCGCAGAGAATGCAGAGATGCCCTTGCGTCAATGAACAAGCATAAAAATGCGAAAGTTTATCCATTAAATAGAAAAATAATAAATACTCACCTCTATGTTTTTCGTCTCTTGTCGCACAAATTCCGGCTCGTATATATCTTTATTCCATCCATATGAATTCATTTTTATCCAGTTGATATTCTTATTCCGATGATGTATAAAAATTAATGAGACTTGGGTCGGTTCAGTTTAGGATAGGTTAAATTCAGCGCTGATCATTTATCAATATGTGTTATATGTGTTCTCTTAATACCAGTTTAATCTTTATTGTCATTCATTAATTTCACTTTTTCACGGTATCGATGATAATGCTGGTTTTATATATGATTATTGTTAGACACACACGATTCGTTATTATGGTAAGGTTAATCACATTGCTATACGCACATACGTAAACACGATTATTTTTCAAACTATTGTACGATATCGATTTGCAGATATTTATTTTCAATAACTTAAAATTATAATTCGAACGTATATATATATATTGATATATAGTTTTAACTATGTATATAATATATACATAAATGACTTGTAACGATTAATAGCTATAATACCATTCCTTGGATACGTATGATACTGATACCGATACAGGGACACGTGACACATTTATATAAGGACCGGAGGCTGGAGCACAGACTTTTTGTATAATGCATAAATAAGAAATCAAGCAATCCGTTTTTATCCTGAGACTGAAATGAAAGAGTCTTGGTTGATTCTATAGTCTATGGTCAATACCGTCTAAGGTGCACCAGAGGACAGCATTCTAAATTGCGTTCAGAAATATATATTCATCAAAGTGCCTAATTGGACTGACCAATTGGAGACCGAGGATCTCTCTGCCCTGATTGGCCAATCGAGTGCTTCACCTTAGGTGAATATATTTCCGAACGCAGTCTAGAATGCTGCCATCTAGTGCACTTTCACATTGTTTGCAAGTTAACATTCGCGCGTTCATCGCCGGTCCTTGAAAATATGAGTATGTGAGTATATTAATTACGTAGTGTCTTTATACGTCGTTATTATCGTATAAATCCGATCGCGTTGCGTGTATCGACATCGTGATCGCACTCACGATGTCGAATTAACCTCGTCGGTCGCGAATCTTATTGTTCAACGTTCGTTCTCCCAAAAGTGCATGACGTAGTTACAGCACTATAATTCGAGTCGCCAAAAATTTATATACGCGCGGATCACGATGAGAATTATCGGGCGCTTTAATTGACGCGAATATTTCCGTAGATTTTCGACATTGTCGATTGCGCGTTTTCGGTCGTACTTTCGCGCATCATCGTATCGTAATTTGCGTAAAAATCGTAGAACAACTATATTACGATTACTGAAACTACGACTAATATATACCTATATATACTTTTCCCGAAACGCATCGAAAATTGTGATACTTAACTGAAACCCGGGCGTCGCCGCGAATGCAAGTGTTTCGTTCAAACTTCTACGAGGAGACCCAGAATGACATCGGGCAACGGCACGGTGGAACAATTATATGTGGTGAATAATTTATTTATTTATTATTTCTATTTTTACTATTAAATTCAAAATGTATAAATAATAATTTTATCTTTCGAAATATCAATTATTTTGAATTTTCCTATATAATTTCCATGTACATTTATATTTTACAGTTTACAATTCCGCTGCTGCGCATCGTATCGGTAAGTCTCATCAATTTTTGCTTATAAATTTTGAATAATTTTGTGAAAATTTACTCCGATTTTGCCGAAACTTATTTACAATAATATTGTGTATTTTTGTGTATGAAACACGAATTTATATAAATTTAAATCCGCTCCCTTCCCTAGGGAATGTAATTCACTGTTACTTTTTCTTACTTAAGAGCGACAATTTTAATTTACAGATTTGTGTTTTACGCACAAAAAAATACATGAATATTGTAAAGTTTCGGCAAAATCGGAAAGGATAGAACTCTTCTTCATTGTCAATATTTCAGTATATCGATCTTTAATCACAATCCCGATGATTAATATATAATTTGAAAATTTACAAATTAAAAATTAAACAATTTCATATTTGCATTATTTACATATTTATATGTTATATATCTCTTTAAATAATAAGTTAACATGGTGTAACAATAATGGCAATATCAATCATAATTAATTTGTACAAATTATTTGTTTTAAAATTCATTTAGTATATTGCCTTTTAGTATATACGTATGTATATTATCACACCTTCAATATGCACTGAATTTTATGCTATAGAAAATCTATATCTATATCGAATACATTTAACTTGCTACCAGATGTTTAAACTAACTAATGCTGATGCATTTGAAATTGTCAAAACAATTTCATTTAAAAATCAACAAGTCAATATTATTCTTGTAGAATCGCTTTAATCTCACTTTAGAATAACTTGTGTATATTTTGATTGTTATCATATATATGTCTTGATTGTTATCATATGTCACACGATCACACGATGAAGCTTTTGTATATGTGACATAATCGAAGGATTTAGTTTTAACAATTATAAGTCATAGTATTGTATATATGCTGATGTAATAAGAAGCAAACAAAATGTTTTTTATGATTACTATAACTTGTAGCGTGTCTCGAAATTATGCGTATCACGTTACCTGAATCATTTTTATCGCTATATGATTTTTACGATTATGTGCAAGAAATTGGATCTGTTGCGTTTTGCGAAACACTTGCGCTAGTTTCCATCATATCACGGTCAACTTATATAATTGATATAGAGCCAAATTCATTTATTGTTAGTTATGTGACAACGATTATTGTCGCAATCTATTGCGTTTCGCTGTCGGCATTAAAATAATTGATATTTCTAGATTAGCTCGGATACGCACGCGTTTGTAGATTGTCGTTTTATAACTTTTATTATTATTGAAAAAATCATGCTATATATACAAAATGTCCATAAAGTCTGTCTCATCCCCTATATATTTCGGAAACTCAAAATTATGAAAAATCGAAAAATACCTGTTTGATCGTTTCGTGAGACTACTTTTCTAAGAGAGTTGCGGGGATCGTCTTTCAAGGGGAGTGTGACTTGAAAAGACACCCATTTCAAAAATTTCAAATGGAACCTTCCATATTGTACTATTGTTTGAAAAGGCATAAAAAATTTTGGTATAAGTTGGATCAACATCCTTTGGTTTACACCAAAAATTTTCTTTTTTATGCCCTTTCAAACGATACAAGGCGCAAGTACAATATGAGAGGTTTTATTTGAAATTTTTTAGTTCGGGTCCCTCTGAGGCATTAGGGGACAACTTCCTTAAAAGAGTGGCATCTCGAAATGATCAAATGTATTCGCGGTTTTATCATAATTTTGAGCCGTTTCCGAAATACAGGGAGTATAAGGACAGACTTTATATGGATTACCCTGTACATGTGATTTACATATTTATACGTATATAATTTAAAAAAATGGTAAAATATCGTAGTATCTGCATAATGGCGAAAATATTCTAATCACACATCGATAATTATATCTTTTTTTATAAAATATATTCTATTAAATATATTGTTTTTTATTAAATTTACCTGTTTCATCTCAATGATATCATTTCAATGATAGAATTACAATTTGTATTCTAGCAGAAAAATCTTTGCGTTTTCTAGTAAAATATTTATCTCTTAAGTAGAATAACATATTTTACAACATGATAAGGTTTGATTTGTGTAGACATATGCAGCATCATTATGTACATGTTTCAAGATAAATAAATATATTAGAAAACGCGGAGATATAATATTATTGTAATTCTATGACTAATAATATTATTGAGGAAAAGATGAAAATTTAATACAATTAAATTTTATTAAAAAAAAATAAGTTATTGATGATTAAGACACTGACTTCACGCAGAAATTTTAATATTTTTATCATTTATATAAGTCACATTTAGAGAATACAATCATTTACATAAAAATATATTAATAATTTGTATCGTGATTAATTGATTAAGCATAATGAATGGTGAGTATATGACAATATGGTTGCATATATAATCACATTTATAAAAACAGTAAATAAAGATAACAGTAATAAAGATATTGGAAAGATTTTACAAAAATAAATTGCACATCTGTACTAATTGTAAGTTCTATTACTTAAGAATTGATTAAAAATAAAAGAAAAAAATTGAATATATGTATACGCACAAAATTTCATCACATATGGAATATTCCATCATGTCAGAGTATTGTATACACCTATGTATATACATACAGGTATATACAATATTATATACCTACATATATGTATATTTCTTTTGTACTAATTTCATGTTAGCTTATCTCTTGCAATAATTTTAAATTAATTTAATACGAAAACAGCACTTTTTTAATACTATATCAAAATTTTGGCTTCGTGTCAAACATTTATCGATTTAGAGACACGCCTTCGCGCAAAATGTACCGTTCATGTTACGGTCGTACTATATGTCGCATTAAAATTGAAGTTTCATCTGATTGAATGCAATTTACTCAGTAATTTAAAAATTCTCGCAAGGCAGTTAAATGGATATACACTTCTCGGATCATAGTGTGCGAGAGGTAATTCGTAATAAAATATAGTAATCTCATGTCAATGTTAAATCAATGGCAAATGGAAATATTATCATTTAAAATCAACAATGCAATACATTTCTATCGTTAACTTATTTTTATCTCTTTTTGATATTAATAATGACCTACAAAATTATTACTTTTTACCAATTAATACTATAATTTTAGAACAAATCTTTGTCGAGAGATGAATGTAAATTATTTCCCAATGCCGCGCTATTCATCATATAACAGCAAATAATAATAATTAATATATAATTATATAAAATGTATTATAATAGTTAAAAAAAAGATATATATGATTATTATATACATATATAGAATATTTTTCATTATACAAATTTTATCACATGTGGGAAATTCCATCATGTGGCAGATATTGTACTTGAGCCTATCTGTATCAAGGTCAATTATAATATAGTGCGTGTTGCTAATCGTTATATACGAACTCTTGCTTGCACCACACTGTAATTTGGGAACGTGGCTGTAGAGCGACACCAAATGATGATGCTTTTTGTACGTGATTGAGCCGAAACGAACGCGAACGAACAAGTAGTACGTATTACACTGACTAACACATCCGATAAAAGACAGTTTGTTCCGTTTCGGAATTGTCCCTTCCTCCAACCACATTGACGTCGCAAGTTGCAACACGCCGGCGCGGCGCAGCGAAAATTAGCGTCAATCACGAATGCCTTATCGTGGCCTGCCGAAACGCTTATAAGGAATTTTCATAAATATGGTCAAAAAAGAAAGTCCAATCCGGTTCTCTATCATGCATAATATTATAATAATTTCTCTTTCAGGTCTTTCCTCTTCTTACAATTAGGCCTTATTCTTATTTGTATTTAATATAATAATTGTTTATATGTGAATGAAGGATATACTTGTTTAATTATTTGCAAGAAAGATGAGAATTATATCATCCTATTATATATATATATGTGCATTACACACTGGTACACAATGCTATTTATACATATTCCAGTGGCGTCCTTAAAAATATCTAAATAATTTTTGAAAAACAAAATACGCAAGTACAATTTTTTTATAATATGAATAATTATAAATATACTTTTTCATCATTAATATGTATATATTAACTTTTAATTAAAATTTTTATGTATACATACATTATAATGTATGTTTAGCAAGAAAATTATATTATATTACATAATATTTCTGTTTTCATCTTTACGCTGCAAAAGATAATTCATCAGTTTAAATTTTACGGCAATATAAAGATAATATTTCAAAGTTCAAGGTAGAATGGAAAACCATTACACATGTTTACGATTGACTAATCTCATAAAAGTTATTTTGGGGGTTTGGAAGAAGCTACGAATTATTTTACATCGTTCATAACTGACAGTTCGAATGTTCTTGTGCATCATCCTATACAATATTATTCTTATTTTATGATCCTTTCGTAAACCAGTCATTATTCGTGAAATAAATATTATTATATAGCAAGCTAGGGATTATAATTAATTAATTCAATTAATCAAGTCACGTAGATATTGCGAATGCAATATTTTTCTTTGTTTCAACATCGCTATTTTATCAAATGTGTGATAATGAATTAAAATGAACAAAGAGTAAAATCTATAAGTTAAAACTCGAAATTTACTTCAATCTTTGAGATGACGCTATATTTTTAGTAAAAAATTTAAAATTTAAAATGAGCAGGTAATTAAATTAACAAAATGAATTGTCATTATATGTAGATTTAAAACGAAATCTTTAGAAAAAGAGACAAGAAAGGAAAGTTGTTACAAAATTTATAATTTAATTTAATTTAATTTTGAAATACTCTTTCTTAAAAAAAAAGTACATCGCCAACTTTACGAGGGGAGGTTTCAAACAAACTTCTATTCAGAAGGGGAATACCAAGAAGAAATTGAGAGATAAAAAGTTGTGCAAAAGCCATCACACTTTATAATGGCTGCGTTCAACAGAAAATAAGCAACTTTGCAACTATTGTAAAATTCGTGAATCTGATTGGTGTATGCGTTCTTGATCTTAGCTGAATCTAAGAGCATGCATCAATGAGATACACGAATTTTACAACAGTTTTAAAGCATCTTTTCTGCTGAACGCAAGGCAATGTCACAGGGACATGAGTGCGCGCGAGAACAAAGCTATAGCGGACCTAAAAATATATGTCGCGACAATACACATCATATCATCTCTATATGTATAAGAGAGTTTGTCTTGTATTTGAAAGTGAATTTGGCGGCATGCCAGGAACATTCCAAAAAAATCTGTCTCACATGAAAGAGAGGACACGCGCGCGATTGAGAGAACGCGACGAGTTTTAGTCGCACATGCTGCGTCCGGCTAGTGTGAAACATTCATTGCGTTCAATGAGCTAGAAAATATATCAAAGAGCCAAAAGAGAAAAGATATTTTGAGCCGGTATACCTAGAATTCTGGATATATCTTGTTTCGGATTCTATACGCCATATTCGGTTTCGGATGCAGATTACGCGCTCTGAGTTACAGTTTGTATTCAAATATTAATTCTAAACTAATTGTAAGCTGCATAAGATTGCAGCGATTATTACCATTCGTTCTAGACATTGCACGTAAGAAATATATATATTGTGTATATGTTCTTTTTTTAAGAATAAGTAAAATAAAGCTAGTAAAGAGTAAAACTAGTTGTTTAGTACACAAGATGAAATGAAAAAGCATGCTTATAGTAGATCAAGATTATTAATTTGTAATCTAGGGAAAATGTAATGTGCGATAGTAAAGAATGCGAGGGAGTTTAATATGGCTAATTAGACTGCGTAAGTTGGACACGATTGATCAGTCTATTCTGCAAAAAAATTCCAAATATATTTATTTATATATCATAGCCGTTTTTGGTGGTGTATGAGAAAATTAGCTACAAAATTACTCACACTTTAGTTCTATCGTATACATGACGTAAAAATTTTAAGAATTAATAAACAACAATATATAACAGATACAACAGTGATATATTGACAAACCTTGAAGGTAGTATTGGCGGGATGATGTACATCGCCGGAGCCAGAGAGTCCTCCTCGTAGTAAACGCGACAGAAGATTATAGCGACCTAACGTTGACCACGCGTCCTTTGTCGCATGTAAGGGATATCTAATTTTAAGCAGAAAATTTTTCTTTTTTTTCTCTCGATATATAATAAGTGATATACCAAAATTTCTATTTTTGTTAATTCTTTTTTTCTTATCAATTATTTTGTCATATTAAATACATATTTCTTGATTTGTTAAAATCGCACGTGCGCGCACGAAATTTACATTTATATAAAAAAATGAACCTTATCAGTAAAATGAATTTCTAAAGATAGTATATAGTATTCAGTTTTTCTCAAATTTTTCCCATAAGAAAATGAAGTTTAGAAATAAAATTGTGTCCATGATAAATAGTAACATATATCTTGTATGTAACTCAATCTCATTTTGCCTTTAAATGTAAAACATACACATCACCTAAAGATGAGGAGACATTTAGATTGACACTTGCACGCAACACGACACACCTTACCCTTTCGCGAATTTGTACGTTTTCGGAGGTTGGCCGTCCTCGACGACGGTTTTTACATAATAATACGAATAACTCGACATTATCTTGGATCGTAAACAATACTCAATCGAGAATAACCAGGGAGACGCATATGATGACGGAGTATGTGCAAATGCAAGAAACTACTCGCGAATTGTCAAACGATCACCGCACATCTTATTGTCTGACTGTGCAGTCCCTTTCCTCTTTGCTGTGTATTCGCGTATGCATACTTGTCGACTCTGCGCGCTTATCTACGCTATATGTGTATGCTCGAAAGTGTATATATATAGCCTCCGCCGGCACATTATTGGGAAAACTTTCCAAGTTCTGACAATGTCATGGCACGCGATGTTATAGCGATATGCATGATAAAGCTTTTTTGAAAATACGCCAATAACCGCAGAAAATAAACGATAGAACGGAGAAAATAATGAAATAATAATATCAAGCTAATAGTAATGTCAATAATATAATTTGTTTTGTTTATATAAATTACATATTAACTGTCAATTCTCTGGCGAGTCAATTCTTTTTATAATCCAAATAACATAAGTGAATATAAAGCAATAACAAACATAAGAATTAATTATTGCTCTACAAATTGTTGAATTCTTCTCATTTTTCTCACAATTTATCTTGTAGATATAATTAATTACATTCATCTATCATTAATATTTATATTATCAATAATATTTAGATTATGTGTGGTGTATTGAGATAGCGCTACCTAAGTAGATGCAACTAAATAATTTAGCAAAAAATTGTATTTGTAATCGTAATAATTTTTAATTTATATTAAAGAAAGAGGGGAAGGGGGAGGGGGAGAAGAGAAGATGAAATAGTAATACAGTTCATAAACACGCCTTTATTACGTTTCACGTATAGATACATGGTAACTGACTTTCATACGCTACGCGTACGTAAAGTACGTCGTCATTGTAAGAAAAATAAAAAAGGGCTCGTGCTCTTTTTATTCCCTTCTTTCCAAGATGTACTCATAATGTTATCCGCTTTACAATATGGATAATGCATCGACGAGGATCGAGTTTATATCGTTGCTTCTTTGGTTAAAGATGAATCACAAAGTAGACTATCAGCCTACGGAGACTTTTACATCGATATTACGATATAACACACTTTACTCAACAATCACGTGACATTTTTCGGATCCGAATCGATCCCGTTTGCTATTCTTACCGATTAGACAGATAGACGATACAATCGTCTGTTCGAGAGATCAGGGATACCTTATAGTGTCAAAACTACTCGCATTTGTTAGACCTTTAAATATCAAGTATATGTACATACATTGTAAGAAAAAAAAAACATTCTCCTTTTTTCGCATAAATTAAAAATCGATCATGCAAATTCCACATATTATTTCGATTAAAGCTACATGCTCGAATAAATGCTGTTTATCCGAAGGCTGTTTATTAATCTGCGGTTTCGAAGTACACACATACATAAATATTCGCATTTTTTTACATGTTGATTTCACTTCGATTAATTTACGCTCACAAACATTTTGTTTGAGTCATTTTCCAATAAATTTATATAAATTCCTGTTTCATCTCGTTATCACGATATTATAGAATTTTATTCACTTGATGAGCTCGTCTTGAATATATTATGTATTTAGTATTCTCTTTCGCGTTCTTCTTGTATGTATTTGCATACGTAAATCTAGTCTATTACATTCGTTTAACAATCTCTCCCGCCGACTTACAATAGTCTTTTTTATGGAAACTGGCTTGTATCGTCAAAGAAACATCGGCCATGAAGCGTCGACACGTGGTTTCTATTCACAGGAGGGTCTCCTCCGAATAGAAACGACGCGAGTATTCATTGTCGCGGGCCCACGTAGGCGAGGAGAGTTCTACGAGCTGCGTGTCCATCGTAACCGCAGTCGTCGTGGCCGATCTTTGCAGTGGCAACCGACGAGCGGCCGCGATCGCGGCCTTCGAGCAGCCTCGTCAACCCCCCTCGGATAAATCTCAGCAGGAGCACTCTTCTTCCCTCGGTAGTTCGTGACCCAAGGAATCCTTCGTTGCAAAAGCGAGGATAATGTAAAATAGATAAGAGAACATTAATGGAAAACTATATATACATACATGTCAAAATTTTTAATCACGGTATAAATATTCTTTTTAGGAGATTGTTATTTAATTATTATTCAAATGCAATAATAAAAGTTAAAAACTCTTTTACATATTCCGTCGAATGAAAAAATCCTTTCTTTGTGTGTTGTGTATGTGTGTGTAAAAAATGTTTACAATCTTTAAAAAATATATTATTGAATATGCAACCAGGGAGTTTATCCTAGTTGAAAAAGCGTGTGCAAAAAATATGTAATGTATACAATACAACATTATATTATAATTCCACGATCTTCTCTTTCACTTTTCACCATTATTTTCAAAGAAACATTCCCCTTCGGATTATATTTGTGTGTATATGTTTTGATACAAGACTTATAAATCTGGATACATGCATTTTTTAAGAAATATTATTATATTACCAATACACATACACACATTCTTTATCGAGTAAACTCTTCAATTGTAGATTGTATAGTTGGTTTGAGACGAGTTCAATGCTAGACGCATTTTAAGCATTTTCGAGATTAAGGACCACGATCGGATGGAAACTTTGCAGGACGTATGTAGGGTGGAGGTGAAATTACCTTCCTTAGCTCCATACTGCCTGGTGTGCTCGAACGTTGCGTTCGCGTTGTAATCTTCTCATAAGGGATGGTGCCTCTGCAAAGAGCGCTCGGATCCAAACTCAATGTCGCTTTCAAGGTACTTTTCTTTACTATACCGTTGACATTGTTGACATTGCTGAGGCCGGTGGTATGACTCGGTGAGCAAGTGCGCGTGTTGGGCGACGAGTTGGTTGTCGTGTCGAGCGGGGTGTCCGAGGATTGCGCTATCAAAGAGTCAGAATTGGTATCGGTAGTCGTTGTACTCTCATTGCCATTTCTGCGATCCGTTATCGCATTATCGATATTGGCAGTCAAATCACATTCTTCCTCTGGACGGTTATTACCGTTGTCTGCGTTATCGCGGTCTTCGATGTTGGTTCGATGTATTATCCTGTTATCTCGATCCGATCGGACGATCCTGCGCTTATCCTGCCCACATAACATTTGTTTGTTATATTAGCATGGCATAGTAGAGACATGCGCAAATATTTGACAATATACTCGGAATGATACTCGATAATGCGTGCAACGATTCAATGATAGGAAATATGATAATAATATACACATTGTTATACGAGAAAGAACTAATCGTATTGTGTTAATGACAGTTTTGAGAAAGAGAAAGAGAGAGGTTTTTAATACAATCTTTAAAATAAGAAAGAAAAAGTTAAGCAGATCTAACAACAAATTTCAATTCTTCTTAAACACAATAAAACATTTATCTCTTTTATTATTGATAAAATTTATTAACACATTGATAAGTTAACGTATTTTTTTATGCGTTAGATTCTCTCTCCTCTCTCTCTTTCCATTATAATATAGATATTTCTATTATTTATCTAAATAGAGGAAATGATGTCTTATAATGATAAATTAAATACAATTAAAGTAACTAGCGGACTTCTCGAATATGCACCTTGCAATCTTCCATCATCTCGTCATGATCGTCCTCATGATTGTTGTCGCCACTGTAGGTTTGATCAAAAGTATCTGTGCTAGAGTCGTACGTATTGCAACTAAATGTTCCTTGCCGACATTCTGCCGGTCTTGAAAAAATTCTTCCGTGTGATTTGCAACCTTTATTTAATTTTTCATTTTCAGAATTATAGGCGGTGCCACGCACGGCTTGACCTACGCGATGTGCCACCGATCGGGGATCGATGATTCTCGGTTGCATGTAACCGCATCCATCCAGCTGTTAGACAAGTTAAAGTTTTTATACACGTCGGGTAAAATAAAATATTTTACAACATATTATTTTACAACTATACCAACATCAGATTGTACATTGATGCATTCTGCTTCCGGATCTGGTCTCATGATCGTTATTTCACGATCACAAATCGGCAATATGTCAAAATTAGGCGTCGGATGATTTATCACATCTGGATCCTTTGCAAAATAAAAGATTATTATATTTTATTGATTAAATAATAAAACTAGGATTATTTAAAGAATTATTTAAAGAGGAAAAAAAGATTGCCATAAAGATTATAGATTATAGATTAGGCTTGCATTCTTACCTGCAAACAATAACCAATCCTTTCGGCGATAGTGGAAAAACTTGGCCTATCATCGGGCTGCGGATGCCAGCATCGCGTCATAATCCCGTATATAGGATCTGGGCATCCTGCAGGTTTTTCGAGACGGCCTCCGGTCGTCACCATCGACATGACTTCGCGATTTGCGCATCCGGTGTAGGGCATATATCCAAATGACATAATCTCCCATAGGAGCACACCAAAGGCCCTAAAAATCAGTTGTACATTATGCCGCATCTTCTACCAAAAGCAAAAATTGACATACATATATACGAATTCACATGCAGTTTTTCTTACATTTCTTCGCAATATACATATACTAAGCTACATATCGATGAAACATTTTTTTGTATTTTCGTAAAAATTTCAAGTTTTGCGAGACATACATATAAATAATATAAATAACAGAAAAATGTAAAGCACATTTCTTAGATTAAAAATTGTTTAAAGAAAAAATGAAATTATTATGAAACACAATCTCACCAGACATCGGTTTTCGTAGTGAATATACCATCCAAAAAACTCTCTGGCGGCATCCACTTTATGGGTAGCATCGCCTTGCCACCTTTTCTATAATAATCGCTTCGATAAATGTCTCTAGCCATACCGAAATCCGCAATTTTAACAGTACGCCCTGGTGCTTTGGTAGTCAATAAACAATTCCTAGCGGCAATGTCTCGGTGTATAAAACGTGCTTCTTCCATATATTTACAGCCATTTGCGACATCATAGCCACACATAATAAGATCCAACATTGTTAATGATGTAGGTCGATCCTACAAAATTGAAAATACATGGCTATATATACGTGTATATGTATGTATGTATGTATATATGTATGTAATAGTATGTATGCACATACATACACGTATACGTATACATATACATGCGCGTGTTTATTTCAAAAATGAAATAAAATATATTCTATCCGAAAATACTTCAATGTTTGAATTGTACATATGTGTATTCTAAAATAAATAGAAATTACAAATATGATGCACAATATGGGTTTGAATTGTACATATGTGTATTCTAAAATAAATAGAAATTACAAATATGATGCACAATATGGGTTTCAATAATAAATTTTAATTTATATTTAATACAATATAAATAAACAACCAATAATATCATTAATGAAAAATAGTATTACTGTTAACAATATATATAATTAAAAACGAGATTAAAAATAATTTCTAATAATTTAATCAGAGATCTACATAAAAAATTAGGAAAATAAAGTATCGATAGTATTCTTTTAATTTTAATTTATAAAATTATTCCATATATTCGGAAAAGAAATATATTCCATGCTCATTCGTTATTTTAGATCTCGTATATGTTACAGCTTTGTTTTTGAAATACAATTATTTTTTAAATACAAATTATTTTCTAAAATAACTATTGTCACCTAATATAATCTTAAAATGCATGATAGCACGATATTATGTCTCACAAACGTTTGATTCGAAACGTTATCATATTTCTTTACTGTGCAAGAATAAATTGTAGAATTGTAAAAATTGACAAAAAACATTGAAAAAAGATAATTATATAAAAAAATTAATCAATTCGGTTTATACGGTTTCAGTATCATAAAATTTATAAAATTATGATTTGATTACAATTACGATCCGATTGGAAAAAAAGAATTCTGAAAAAGAATTAGTAAATCGTCGATTCGAGCGTTCTTGAACCAAATCTTGATATTATATATAATAATTCTTGTATTAATTTATGTGACAGAGATTACATCTTCTAACAGTCATATTTTTTTCTTTATTTAAATTCGCATACTCACTCTTTGGTCATATCTTTGGTTTCACTTTCTCTTTCAAGAGAGTTAATGATATTATTAATATACTTACTGGTCGAGGCCTTTCTTCACGTAGAAAATTCTTAAGATCTCCTCCGGCTAATAACTCAAGAACGATATATCTCGGATGTTTGTCAAAAGAGACACCGATAAAGTGTACTATATTAGGATGATTAAATTTGCTCATTATCAATGCCTCCATCATGAAATCAGCTTCTGCTTGTGTTGTAGATAAAGATGGTAGGGTCTTTACAGCGACAGGATGTTCCTCATCGCGTCTATATTTGTATACGCCTTGAAAAACTTCGCCAAAAGCGCCTTGACCGAGAGGTCTGTATTAAAAAATGTAATCATTTTTATTTTATTTCATATACTAAAATCAGTTTTTTTAATCTTATTTCCTATTTAAATTTAGACTGTGTGTAGAAAAATTCTGAAAATTTAATTATAAGAAAGCCAAAAACTTGTAAAGTTACTAGAGTTGATACAACTAATTGATTAATCAATTTAAGAAATCTTGACTAGAACGTATTTATACTAACTTTACTAAAGTAATGTAATCACGGGGTATTTGCGGTAAATCTTTGAAGCTATACAAATTGCCAGCGAATTCATAGTTGGGGTTAAATTCAGTCATCATTGTATCCGATACGGCACGCAGTGCAGTTAACTCTGTGCCATTTCCAAACATCATTTGACGGCGACGTAGAAGCTCTTTTTGGTTTTGGTACCGTTTATCTATCGAAAAATGCACGATATAAATAAATAAGCATATCAAATTTATATAAATTAAATAAGAAAATTAATAAAAAATGGCGATATATTTGAGATGTATATATACTTACAAGATACTAGGCAAATTCCGATAATGGCGAATAGGCCAATGATTACTACTACAAACGGTATCATATATGTTTGATGTACACCCTTGGAATCGTCGGTCACTAAAATTTACAAAACAATTCTTCACTTTGCTTATATTTGCATAAAATAAAATGAACGTGATGATTTTTTATATATGGCTGTACTTACTAATACACGATTTAGAATCGTTGCTGAGCAACCAACCCTGAGGACAGAGACACTTAGTTTCACTCAAATGCGGATCGAGTGCGACGCAACGATAATCACAACCGCAGCCACTGATTGCGGGTATAATGAGAATCTCGCCCGAGCCATAATGAGCTGCAGCTTTGAAATAAATATCAGTGAGCTTCTGACTGGCGTACGAATAACCACCCTCGCCATTTCCAGAATCCTCGTATCCGGTATTGCCGCCTAAAAAATACAAAATTATATTTCTAAATTAATTCTGGGAATTGTTATAATTATAACATAAATTAGTAAGATTTATTTTAACTTTTTAATTCCACTGTCAGTCTATTCCATTTTTAATCCGGATAAAAAAATCAAAAGATTCAAGGAGAATTTAAATATTTAAGATTCTTATTTACCAACATAACCACCGCCACCGCCTCCTGTTAGACAACCACCCCCTCCTCCACCGAAACCGCCGTTACCATAATCTTTATTTCCGGATTTGCAACCGAATCCTCCCAAACCTCCATGAATCAGTGGCATTCCCGCAACATTTTGTTGATCGGAATTGTTAGTCCACAAACCGTCCCAACTACCACCAGGTCCACCTAAGTAAATTGCGAGATTATACTCAAGTTTCCATTTTTTACTCAAAGGTTGTCGCTCTTTAAAAAAAATATTTTGAGATTTTACATAAGTACACAAGTAAAAAATGGCTAATTACCTATGTCTTTTGCTACGGACGGAGAAAGTCTACTCGTCAAAATAGGACCACGTCCGTGTTGTAATCCATCGTCAATCACTTGACCTCGCCCCAAACCACCACCACCACCCGCGATTAAGATAGGTTCTGGTTTACCATTAGCTCTTAGCTACAATCATTTAAAGAAATACATTAAATTTGCATAATGGTGGAAAATTAGTAGTGAAAAACTGAGAAAAGTAAGACTTTTATTCCACACAAGTATCTATATATTACTACTATAATAAAAAAAAAACTAGGAAAAAGAAAAAAAATCTATATGACACATTCTTTTTTTCTTAGCAGTGTATTGACGCGTCACTTTAGACATTTTCATTCTCTCTTACTTATATCAAAGGTATTAAAAAATTACAAAATTATTATTTACTGCAAAAATAACTGTTGCACCACCGCCGCCACCACCACCATTCTTAAACTCGAGTCTTTTCACTTCTCGCACTTTCGATGGAACGCCGGCTGGTGTATGCTTTGAAAACTCGAGCGATTGATCCGTTGATTGACAACTGATTTTGTTCATGCCAAGATTCTAGATAATAATATAACAACAATATAAATTCTATGCATAAATATAAAGTCTTATAATTGACCTCGGTGCAACTGAGAGAAAACGATAATTATATATATATAGGTATATGTGAAAATAAATTATAAGACAGAATAAAAATTTCATATAAAATTATTTTGCCTTTGAAAAAGAAATCTACTTTGATAATCGGAAAATTAATAATATTTCTCATTATTTTTACTTGCGTAATTTGCATAAACATAAACTATTTAACTCTATCGCAGTAAGAATAAAAACGTTTAGTATACTCTACTTTAAAATAATGTAATAAAGAAGTTGTTAAAAAAATGTTCAAAGTTGAATAAGTTACTTGTAAAAAATTCTATTTACTTATTCTATTTAAATTTCTATTTACTTTGTATTTTTGTACACTCACTTTGGAACATGCATCTATTCCCGCTTGACCTACTATAAAATATAGTTGGTCGCCTTTTTGAAGCTCTACCACACCGCGAACAAGAGCACCCAAAGCGCTACCCGTACCACCAGAGCCCTGTCCTCCTCGTGCTCCAACGCCAATTAAACTGTTTTTGGAGACAATTTACTAATTGAATAGATTAAAATATTCTTTTGTGATTTCTTTATATAATAATATCCTATTCATCATTTTTGCGTCTCTCACACGAATCATTTCAACAAGTAAGAAGTACAATTCTTAAATTAATTAAACACGATAGCAAATATACAATAGCAAGTATACAATATATATATATATATATATATATATATATATATATATTGTATACTTGCATACTTACTATATGTATACTTACTATACTTACTATATATATAATATATATATTGTATACATATATATATATATATATATATATATATATGTATGTATGTATGTATAATATAGTAAAGGAAATAATAATTCCTCTTGCGTATTTTTAATATGAAACATGACTTTTCTCTATTATTAATTCTAATTGTATATTTTTTGGCATCTACTAACGTGTAGTATTCACCACGTGGTGCGGTCCATCGTTGAACTCCATTTGAATTAAAGATTGCCGGCATATTCTCCTGATCTGATATCGACGATGGCACAATCAATTCTACATTGGTGCTATTATATTTCTCGGCGCATTCGTCGATAATAGGGCCTGTCCTGCCAGTAGCTCCGCAAGTAGTAATCTCAATAACTGAAATTAACACATTCGAATAATTTGATAATTAAAAGACACGATAACTTCTCGCATATATGTAAATAACATAATAAACAACTCCGCTACAGCATACCTCGACCGGAGTGACCAGCTTTTTTGATTATTATTTGAAAATAATTAATTATCTTTTTTAAATAAAGCAATTTTTAGAGAAAGTAATTGTACTAAAAAAATGATAAAATTTCGAATATTTAATTCTTGATTTAGTGTAAAGAATTTCTGTTTTAAATCTAAACTATGAATAGATAATGTTAAAAAATACTATATTAAAATTATATTATTAGCATAAGAAAAATCTTATTAAAAAGATAAAATCGTGCAACAAAAGTAAAGCATTCCATCAAAATACTGTACTAACACACACTTTACTTTATTTTATAATAAATATAGCGTTTCATCAATAAATATATCAATAAGTTTAATGAGAATAAATGCATCTCTATTTTGCGTACCTGTCTCGTTTACGAAATCCGGATGCTGTACCGGATTGTCAATTTTGGGATTGTAATAATTAAAGTTGCCTACAACTTCCGGTGGAACTCCTGAATAAAAGAACGTTTGAAAAACTGTATACGTAACTTTACATATAATACCATGCTGAATACTGTGATTAATTTGTCTGTGATTTTTATATCGATTTGTCATACTTCTTTAAACTGATAAATAAGAAGGCTAATTCGACTCTAATTTTTTTCGAAAGATTTTCTTGTGAGGCAGTAAATTTTTATCTGCTGTTATTTTTTAATCCAGAAAAAAATTATGCTGTTAGGTACTGAAATAGAAACAATTGGCAAAATATTTTAGCTCTACAATTGTCACGAGATCATCTGTGCGATGACTGAATCTTTAAACAATCCTCTCTGTGTGTGTGTGTATGTAATATATACTTAACACATATAATATCTACAATATAATATATATAGATTTATTGAAGTTACCAATGGCGAAACATTCCGGACTTAAGGAAATATCATCAATTGCTATATCACCTTTCGAAGAAATCCCTTTGGCCGCCTCGAATTGCAAAACGTACCTATAAATAATAAGTGCCGAAAAAATTAATCAAATTTTGCATTATGTGTATGCATTTATAGTTGTATTTTTTTACAGTTACCTAAATGTTATGTTAGGTAAAGCAACTGCCTCCTTATACCACATGTCACTCTTCTTACTATTGTAAGGAGACCACCACAATCTGATGGTATGATTTCCATTTGGTTTTATTTCGACCAGGTAAAGTCCTAAAGATGCGGTATGCGGACCGTACTTGTGGTAGAAAAAGCGTATCTAGAAGCGTTTGTGTCATTCATAAGAAAAATTGAAGGCACATAAGAAACCTCTCTCACGCAGAACGATATGATACACGCACTATGATAGACGTTACCTCGATGAATATTTCTAATATCATTTTCTCAAAAGAGCATTTGCTAATATCATTTTCTACAGGGGCATTTGCAATAAAAGACACGTCGTGTCTAATATCATCATATATTCATATATCATAATCATTCGTAGTAGAGAGATAGACAACACCGAATAATATAATTGACAATTGACGTTGCAGCATATATTGTATTTCAAAATTAAATAAGCAAGTGTTACATCGCATCGAATAAATTAATAAAAAGGTTACTTGGACATTAATATTGGACATGTGTGTGTGCGTGCGTGCGTGTGTGCGTGTGCGTGTGTGTGTGTGTGTGTGTGTCATGTGAATTAAATTTATATCTTTAGTTAGAGTATATAACATATCGACACAACATCGATTTTATTCATTTTTGCCAATTTACTGTTTATATATAGTGATACACACACACACACACACACACACACACACCGAAAAAAATATTTGTGTGAAATTACATGATTCTGCTGGATTTTTTTTTCGACTCAGCATAATCATGCAATATTGTTATCTATATATGGAAGATTACAAATTATGTAATTTCATATGTCATTTATTCTTATATATTTTCAAGGTTAAAAATATTTCCATTGAAAGTGGAGTTATACATATAGGAATAATATTAGTAATGTATAAATGCTGTAAAATAATGTTATAAATAAAACATAGATAAATGCTTATAAAATTCTAATAAAATAAAAACGTTAAATTTAAAATTACAAGTAATTTTTGCATAACAATAGTAATTTTATCTATATTTTATATATATTTTTACATTAATATGTATTTTTACTTAAAAAATATGGAAAAAAATTACAGTGATAATTAAGTGATTTTTTCAGTTTTGAATAAGTAATTTTCATGTAAAAGTACATGGATTTTCTTCAGTGTATATATGCATATATTACATTTATAGATATTATATATATGTAGATGTATAGATATATGTATATGTATATCGCTAATGAATCTATTATTACTATATAAACAGCATTCATAAAATTAACACAAATGTTTGCTTTCAATTTAAGATAAATTAAAAGCGAAATGAATAAAAACTATAATGATAAAATACAACAATTACAAACATACTTGACACGATCGATGATAAGGGCTAGTAGAATTGTTGCTATAAGGTGGTGTTGGATTATATAATGGACTTTCGATGGTACCTCGATTGCCATATTTATTATTCATGCCATGTATATTTTTAGATGCCATATTCACATACGCATAAGTTCCTGCCAAATAAGGAAGAGCGATAACGATATATATTATTGTATATATGTATATATATATATATATATATATATATATATATAGATATATAGATATATCGCGCTTTGCTTCATCTAATTCAAATGCTCACCTGTTGCATTGCAATAAGTATGATCATAAGTAGGTCCGGTCCTTAAACTTGGCGTAGCGCCTTTATTAAGAGTCCAATTTAAGGGTCTTTCAGGAACATTTGTCCACCCACACCAACCATTCTCAAAGTTACACCTTGCGTTTTCAGGGATTTTGTCTGTTAAAATTTTCAACATATTTGTTTTATATATGAGAAATTTAGCACAATTACTCTTAAATATATACATATAGAGCATAAGTTTGACAAAGATTATAAAATTATAAAAAAGAAAAGGACGAATTTTTGATGAACACACCGCACTCGAATGTTTCATCTTCACCATCGGCGCAATCTTTTGTAAAGTCACAGACATGAGTCCTATTCAAGCAAGAACCGTTGTTACATCGAAACAAACCAGTTGGACAAATGACACCGGCTGGCATAGGTTCTAGATAGATGCAAAATTGTTGTGTTTCAATTATTAAGTTACATTTTTTTGTGCATTAATTTTTTTCAATATTAATAGTATATAATCGCATTATATATGATTGCAATCATGTATAAACCGCATTTGTATTTTCTTCAAAATTATATGGCTATTTCTTCAAATGACTTAGATGCTCCTCTTTTTCAATTAATAATATTGTATTGTATAATTGCTACTGCAAAAATTGTATATATGTATAATACAATTCACAGTCGCTTAATTTCATGTACAAAACAATAAATACGTGTGCGTATAAACAGAGAATAGAACCATTACCCGTATACAAATGCCACAAATTTCAAAAAGATTGCAAACATGTAATCTATGTGATATATAACGGTCAAAGTGTTCAATTAATTAAACCATTAAATAATATTATAAAATAAGTATTTTTATTAGCAATACCTGGGAAGCAATGTACTAGACGAACATTGTCAACGCCGACACTTGAATTGAGATAGGGCAAGTATATCTCTAAAATTAATTCATAGGGTTGATCGACCGCGCGTAACTCGAAACTCATTTTCTGCCATCTAAAACAACATTCATTCAACATATTAATCTCTCTTTCTGAAAATATATATTATAATACAAATACAATTGTACATACGTCGGTTTTTGTACATACGTCATATAATTATTCAAAAATTTCGTGTATGCGATTGAGCTTGTATTAGCAGGGTTAATTTGTATGACAATATTTACGAATCCACCTTCCATTTCCACCAAGTAAAGCCAAAATTCGACGTGGCAACCCGGATTGGTACGATAAATCGAAGGTGACCATATTTGAGCACTCCCATTACCGGTTAACCATAGGAAATGGCCTTGAAAGACAAATTAATTTTTTTCTTTTACAAAATTGATTATACAAGTCATTTTATAATTTTATTTATTTAGCTAAATTCTATTTCTAAAAAGTATTTTGAGCTCTTAGCGTTCTCTCTCTCTCTCTCAATTTTTTTTTAAATTTTTACTCTAATTTTTTAAAAAATAACTAGCCCAAAATTACCGTTTGCGGTATCATCAGCATCCGTGGTCGGAAAATATTTTGACAGTGTGCTATTTGATGATGCCATGACTTTCCTAAACCTTTTAGGACTTCTATCCCAAGACCAGTCGCATGTCTCTACCTCCATATTACAGTGGCCGAAAGGTGATTCACTCGTTTTTCTAAACATTTCCTTAATTTCCTTAATTTTTTCATGCATCGTCTTGTGCTTCAAGCCGCCGCCGCAGGTTACCACGACGCAATAGAAAATCAGAACGAATCGAAGCAAAGATCCACTGCCACCGCCATGTATAGACACGTGCCGACGATCACACTTGCAACTCGCTTGATTGTAACCCGCGGTGGTGATCGCCAGCTTCAGTCGTACGTCTCTGATCATTACTCTGCGATTTTGTTAAATCGATCGTTTAATAGTTCCTGATAAGGTCACGCACGACATTGCATGCTCTGCCTTTTTGTGATACTGAACATAATTTTGTGAGTGTAGTTGCTTTTCGTAAATTTACTTTTAAGAGGATGTCGAAAGTGCGCGGCATCTTTCAAAAATGCGATCGATGATGAGAAATGTACGACGATAAACACAGTTATGAGTTTGAATGTGGATCTTTCTGGTGATGATCATCTTCCATTGTCTATAATACTGAAATCAAATAGATATTTTATATTTATTTTTATATACGCATATATTTTTATTATATATATATATATAAAAACATGTACCATGTACATACATATATTTAATTGAAAATTGTTGCTTAAAAAGTTGCATATTATATTATATTATTATCATCGTTTAAAATATTAATTTTAATACACAGTGCTTTTATAAAATAATGATGCAACATTAAATACATGTTCACTTTGTACATTTTAAGCTCGCATTTGTAAAATTCAACATTAAAAATTTCACATCTTACCGTTGCATGATAAAAAAAACGGATGACAGAGGTTGAAAAATTAAAAAAGGGAGAAAACTGTAAATTGGATTATGAGACTAAAACAAAATCGCGAATATCGGAGATGGATTAATTGATTTCTCGATATACATATGTATATCTCTTAATTTCCGATAGACGCGCAGAAACGAAGTTATGCCGATTTTCTGCCATCGATGATATTTTAGATGCCATTAATGTTATAATATTTATAAACTAACAAAATAGAATTTGCATTTGACTCTGTATTAATCGTATTTGTTTTTCTTTTAACTTTTTAAGATTGAGAAGAATTCTTTCGAAAATATGAAATAAATGCACACAAAGAAATATATATATTTATCTATGACCGTATTTTAAAATTACTGCCAGTGTTGAAAATCTATAATATACGTGAACTATAAATTTTCAGCACTGTAGTAAATTTTGGGACACAGCCTATAACAATTAAATTTATTCAGAATCACACATAAATAGTTATAGATAAATACTTATATATGCAGTTTTACTAACTTGAGGAATATTTTTCAACTCTTGTAAATTTTTAAATAAAAAATTGAAATCAATAATAGGAATGTTTTAAGTTATAAATCTAGATTAAACTTTAGTTTTAACTAGTTCTAATTTTAACTACAGAGCGCTGCAGTTTTCAATTTTGCTTATTGTTAAACTCAAGTCGTTTTACTTTGCTTTACGTTTAGGTTTCGCTCGAACATTTAGGTTTAGATTAAACTTTTGTTAATATTTATTCAATTATAACTTTTTATATGCTTTTTTATACTATCAAGTCCATTTGTTAATACGAATTGTGGCGAAAATTGCTTAAAAAGTAACAATTAATCCTATCGATTAATTGCATCTATATACACTCTCTATTTGGCGAACGATGCAATGATCATTGTCAAAGCGCAATATTATCGCGGAATGATTCAACAACATTTTTACTTGCCTTCATCTTACGAAAGCGATGAGAATTGCTCGAAATAAAAATTCTCTTCAAAACTGTAATAGCAAGTCATGGTTTAATATCCATTCTTCCGAATAACCAAATCTTTTGGTCCTCTTGAACACGATATATCCGACAACGAGGTATCGATCGGATCCTATATACTTAATGTTCGCACACTTGCCAATCAATCGCGTGTTTATAGAAATCATAGGATAAAGGTGATTATTCAAGTTTTTTATATATATTCTAAAAAAATTCTAAAAAGTTCAACTAAGCTACCGAAATACTTGATGTCACGATCAAGATTTTTTATCAAGATTTTTTATCAAGGAGAAAAATACATTAGAATAGAATGACAGATTTTCTGCTTTTCAACTGATTGCTCTATCCGCATTCAAACGTGTTACTGTAAAAATTTGCAAAAATAAAAAATGCGGAGGAGATATCCGAAAAAAGAGAACTCTCTTTCTCTTCATTTGAATTATATATATGCATATAACACATACATATATATATTATACACACATGAAATGTATAGATATTCCAAAAACACAAAGTTTTTAGTTGCGTGTCAATTATATCGTTTTATTTTTATATTATTATCCCTAGCAACATTTTTCTTACTTATCTATTTGGAAAAATATTTTACTTACTTTTATATATATATATATATATATATATATATATATAAGATAAATTCACGTAATGATAAATTATTACGTCACGTTGTTGATGATTTATTTATAAAATACTCTATATTATATGTATCATAATAATACGACATTACACTAATAATTCGAAACTTTTGATTGTAATGAATTCAATTCTTAATATATGTTGCCCGTAAAAATACGTAAACGCAATGCAACGATTTAAAACATACTGTATGTAGAATGTCATATCGTGCTCCGAGCCACACAATCTGTCTGTTCCTTGTGTCTCGTTAACAGCAATTGAGAAAAGTATTTTGCTGTCCGTTTTTTCGCGGCCCCCACCCTCTACCTCTTCCGGAGGAGGATTCGAGTGGTCGAGTTGCTACGATCATTCTCGTAGATATTATATCGCACCCTCGTTCAAGTAATCATTCTAGTAACGTAATCCGGAAGTGCCTATTCTCATCAAGTTCCAAGAGTCTAGAGCCATCGACCGATGCTTATTGTTGCATGATATTTGTAAAAATTCACATACTTATGCAATTACAAACGATACTAAATTTTGCAATATAATTGTTTGTTATGCAAAGGATACTACTATGAATCTACATATTTACAATTGTATCGCATTTCAGGATATTAATTATTTTAAAAATTATATCTGACTAATACTTATATATCTTTTTACGTTTTTTATATTAGCTGAAGCATTTAGAATATTAAATTTAAATTGTCTCTGAAGATACGGAGTATCGAAAGATACGAAAATATTGTCAAAGCTGAAATTGTAGGTATATTTTAACTTTTTTCTATTAGTACATATACATACATATAATAGTCTCTCTTCTTTGATATTTTTATCTTTAACAATATGTCCGAGAGCAAAGACACGTAGATGTGCTCTTTTATATATTAATGCATATACATATGTATATATATATATATATATATATATATATATATATTTATTTATTTATTTATTTATTCAAATATTTATTCAATATTACTGAAACAAAAAATTTGAGAATTTGTCAAGTAAATCTTTTTTTAACATTTGCATAATCATTTTAATAAATGTCCAATCGCTATCAACTATATATTTAAGACCATAATGTCACAGAATGATTACGATGCAGACATCTTTTGGTGATTATTATTAAAGAAAATCTTGGAGAGAACCTTGTATATTTTTTTCGCGATAGTTTGATGCTGATGAAGTCAACATTAGCTATTTAATAATATACTTTTGCGCTTAAATAACGATGAAATTTTCTCTGTATATGTATAATGATATGTTTTATATTTTAGCTTTTTGTCATTATAAAAAGAGTCAAATATATTTTTTTTTGTGGTATAATTATATAATTATACGAGATGAAAAAAATATTTTACATTATGAGATCGCAAATATTTATCAAACAAGAATATTTTAATATCACAAAATAAAATATAATATATACATTTTATCAAAATGTATGTGAAGTGTAAATATATGTACCAATACGTGAAATAATTGAGATTTCGACACAATTAGAATGCTGTAAAGTAATTGATGATAGTACATATATGCCATGTTACCACGTACTTTTGATGGAGCAGCCCTTTTAGTATCGCTTCCGGTTTACCATCCGAAATTCTAGCAGTAATCAGACAACTCGCCAGCATATACAGGACACATCGACAAGAGTCACACTGTAATGATTGGTACATCAATATCCTTTGTCAAATACTTAGCACACGATAAATGCTACCACAGTCTCTATCGAAAAAGGTCTATTTAACAAAGTATCGAATAAGTTTATTGCGTCTAACAATAAGACTGTCTGAAGCACAGCAACTATGCGTTCGCACGACAAACGTTGATTAGTATAAAGTATCAGTAAAGAAGACAGTATCTCTTTTTTCTCTATCTCTCTTTCCTTCGAACCGAAACACTCGATGTACGATCAAATTTAAACTTGGCGTCTCTAGTCTCTCGATAATATCTTTCTCTCTCGCTCGAAACAAATGGACAAAAATCCTTGAACGCCTTTTGGAATTTTGCACAGTAAGATCGCGTTAGACTATCCCGCCTATGCGTAGACACGCACGCGTGCGCGCGTGCATCGCGTGCATCGCGAGATCACATATGCGTAACGAACGCACGAGACGAGACGAGACGGTGGTATCGCACAGACAGAGTATATCTCTGGAGCGCGTATCAGCAAAGATCGAGCCGCGCTCTTTCCGCCCGCTTTTCGGCGCTATCGATCGGCTGTCGCGCGCGCGACTCTCGCTCTCGCACACTTCTCTTGGCGAAACGTCGTCCCGCGATCTCTGAACCATTTAATTCACCAACGCCGGTTTCTCGCGGGTAGCTAAAGAGCTTTTAAGGCGCGACCCCCAGCCGTTTAACGCGTTTCACGCCCGGAGATGAAAGACGACAATTCGTGTCGACTCGAGATATATCCGTTGCGTCCTCCGTGGCTACCGCAGGGCGCAGGGTGTCGTTCCGTCCGGAATCTGGGCTTCGCGACGGAGCAGCGCGCACTCTCTCTCCGCACGCGCGTGGACCGTACGGGGAGATTACGACCCGCGTCTCTCCCGATCTCTCCCGCCCCCGCCCCCGCCTCTCACCTCGAACCTCAGCGGGGTTCGAGGGATGAAGAGGTGACGAACGATCATCTCGCGATCGAAGACATCGCACGAGGCATACATATTTTACGAGCATTCGAAACTCTCTTATTTTGTTAAACGTTCTTCGTCGCGTTGTTATTCCGATATCGCGGATATTGATATACGAATATCGATCGATCGTTCATCCGTAACCGTTGTTTCCAACAACAATCGAATCTGTACTCTCGCTAGTATCAAGGATATTTTGTTTCAACATCTTAACGCGATATATAGACACCCCGCGTGTGAAATAATATCGGATACATCTAACTCAAAATTGCATATAATAATATAATTTGTTTTGATTTTTTTAATATTAACAATAAATAATGTAAACCTGAGAAAGAAAAAGGTAGTGAAAAAGAAGATATGTAACAGAAAAAGATGACAACGAGGCAAAAACAAACGCAAAAAGAATATGAGAGAGAGAGAGAGAAAGAGAGAAGAGAAGGTATAGTGCGAAAAGAGATAAAGAAAAGAGAAGTTGAAGAAATACACGAAGGAATATAAATATACAGGGTTTGTCCCAAAAGTAATGAGCCTTTTTTCAAAAAAATAGATTTATTGTGATCAAACATGTAATACAACTTAATACTCTTCAAAATAGTCTCCTCCTGCGTCTATACACCTTTGCCAACGTGTTTTCCATGCATCTCTAGGCCCTCTGGAACTCGCTTTTCGGAATGCTGTTAAAGCACCTCGTCGTGGTGTTTTGAATGTTGTCCAGGGTCTCCAGATGCTTTCTTTTCAGCTCCCTTTTCACCCTTGGGAACAAAAAGAAGTCTGCCGGGGCTACATCGGGGCTATAGGGGGGCTGTGGCACCGTTGAAACACCGATCCGGGTCAGATAGGAGTTGACAACGAAGGCGGTGTGACTCGGCGCGTTGTCATGGTGGAGTCTCCATGACGACCGGATCTCTGGCTGGACGCGGGTGACTCTGTGATTGAGTCTTTTGAGAACTTCTTTGTAGAAGTCCTTGTTGACGATCTGCCCAGGTGGTATGTATAAGCTTTCCTATTATGATGTTTGCCAGTCTTCACCCCTGATGAGAGCTAACCCCGTCCAACAAGACACACTTTCTGGAGTCAACACTCTTTACATATATACATATACATATATGTATATATAATATGTCTTATACTTAATAAAATATAATTATTTAAAACCAAAGGAAATATTATACACATATGACAGAATTAAAATGTTTTATTGAGAAGGTTAATTATTATATATATAAATATCTAAAACAAATGTGTGTACATGCGAGTACACATGCCATATTAGTAAAATAAAATATAAAATTCATTTTGCATTATTTTTTCATTAAAAATAGAATATTACGTGATTTACTTTCATGCGCCATTAAATTTTCGTATTGTTTCGTTAAAACTCTAATAAATCTTGTCTATATGTTTAATCATTTGCAGCTTGCGTAATCATATAGCACAGCAGGTATGTAATAATTCCGTATCAATGTCCTAAAAATTTTCATTAAACTGTATAAATAATAAATTATAGAGGTTCTCGAATGAATGAAAAAAAGAAAAATAATGGGCAAATATTTACATATACATATAACGCTCAAGACGTTCAAACTTATTATTTTCTCGCTCGCGATCGTTTTCGATTTTGATTTGTTATTAGCGAATTATACAAAAAGTTAAGTATATAGTGCAAAATATTTGATGATTTGAATCGATGTTTTCTTTAGATAAGTATATGCGCAGAAATAAATATAACACGTTTTTTATTATAAACATACATGTGTAAAATATTGAAAATTAGAACATTAAAATGATAAGAGGATCGAAAGAAAGAGAATTGAAAGAATCTAATTTTTTTTCAATTTACTAAACCGATCTTGAACGCAAACTGGCATCAAGTATACGCAAAATAATATATATATATATATATATATATATGTCGAAACGAATGACTATTTTAATAAAAAACTATAGTGTCTTCACATATTCTCTCTAGATCTTGCTAGAACCGATAAGAATATATAGATATCTTGGTACATTATATGACTCTAATGTAATTAAACGCAGCAAGTGTATTATAATGTAAAAATTTACGTATAAATTGTAATAAATTTCATATGTAATTTATAATGAGGCAGATCGCAAAAAATATACTTGTTTATCTACAAATTTGAAGATGTGCACTTTATTAAAATTTAATTTTTCTAAAAAATTGGAGTTTGGAATTGGAATTGGAATTTTAGTTTTATCACGTTTTATTTCCTTACGTGAATATTTTTCAATTATTGTTGTGGAAAAGTTTACTTTGTGTTTCTTTTTTGCCAAATAATAAAAATAATCACACGCAAAACAGAAGACGCGATGCTAATATTTTTTTCATTATGTCACCGCTTGCCCCATCGCAATCTCCTTTCCTCTTGCATATATATCTGCTTTTCTTATCTGGTTAAATCTGTTATATCGCACTTTACCTCCTCTCTCTGGGAAAGTTGTTCCGCAACACTCGCACGCTCGATATGCGCAAAATAAAACGGGTATAAAAGCAAAATGTGGCTTCTACAAAATTTGCCCATAAACTTGAGAAATATTTCATATGCGTAGCATAGATTATATTTATGTTATACATTCTTTTACATTTTGTAATGCCTTAATTACATTTTTGGGAGAAACAAAACAACAATTTTCTTCATAAAATAGATAACATAAGATTTGTTTCTTAAAAATTATCAAGTTGAAATATTTCCAAGTTAATATATATAGCTTCGAGAATGCTTGCAAATTATTTCCGTCATCTGTTTTCGTGTGCATTATGCATTAAAAATTAAAAAATAAATTAATTTTCCAAAGTTATGATGAAATAACGGAACGTTTTACGTTCGTTTTTTCGAGAGACACCCAACTACTATAGAGTATAGAGTATAGAGTAAATTATTGTAATTTGTTAAACGGACAAGATTTTATTTTTGACAATAATACTTGATTTTTGGGTTGTGTTTGTCATCGAATATCTCTAATTGTATTTGACGAAATTGTATAAATATTATTATAAGTACCAATTTTTATACTCAAGTGTTTCTCTTGCGTATCGATAAATTTCTTTTATCTTGAATTTTTTTAATATTTTCTTACGGTATTTATAAAACACGATAAATTTCTTCTCTTGACGCGAGTCCACTATTAGTTTTAAACAGTCGACGGAAAGTTGAAGTGTGTCAAGAGTATGTGTAATGTGCAGATGCGATCAATACTCTTTCTGAACGCGGAATAAGAGTTCGTATATATATTTAGTATATTTTAGTAACATTGCGGCCAGCCTCTGAGATACCGATAGTAAAACACGCGGTCTTTACTAAAGGCGATTGATTATTTTCGCTACAAGTGAAGTGGAAAAAGAGCGCCTTATAGCGCAGTACAGACGAGATAGTTATTTTGACGTCACTATATGTGAGAATTTTTTTTGTGCTGTACTCTATCATGGAATACATATACAAATATATTAGTAATCTTCTTTAATTTTTAAATATCTTTCGATTAATTAATACTATCAAAAATTGACGATGCGATCGAAGTATTTTATAACTGTAGTAAGAGAGAAAAATTTTATATAAAATTAATTTAATCAATTTATATTTTATTATTTTTTTTTTAAGAATTCTTTTTTCATCTATATATATATATATATATATATATATATATACACATACATATATACACACACACACTATATTATATATAAACTCTATATATTTCTATATGCGATATATCGTACGCTACATATTTTTAAATTATTGAAATACACATATTATTCGTATATATAATTGAACAAATTATATTATTTTGACGAAAGAAATAGTAACAAAATAAAAATATGAAAGGATTAGATATAGATTAAAGATTTAACTAGATCTACAATTGTGTAATGTAAACGAAAACACTAAAATGTGATAAAAAAAAATTGTAATCTGAAAAATTACATCATGTTGTTTAGGTTTTCAATTTCAATATTATATCAATATGTGGTCTAAATTAAGACAAAACAAAAAAAAAAACTAAAATGTTACATGAACATTACATGAAATATGAATATATAACATATATCATATTGTACAATCTTTCTTTGCTTTTCTTACTAAAAAAAAAAAAAAAGATTTTTATTATTTAGGACATTGTTTCTAATTACTTGTAATATATTGCAACCAAAAAATATGCATATATAATACTATAAAAAACAAAATAAATTAATTCGTGGTCTAAGAGTAATACATATTGTATTAAAAAAAAAAAAAAAAAAAAAAAAAAACACTACATGAAAAAGTTAACTTTTTTGTAGTTGGATTCATAAGCGAATGTGTTAAAAAGAAACTTAATATTTAGGCTTTTTATTTTACGAACAAGCATATTAAAAGCATTTTTAAAGAGTCAGGACGCATCAGCGAGATTATATAACACGCAAACAATCAATTATTATTTTAAAGTAAAATGGTCTCTTTTTGTCTACGTATACAAATATCATTAAAGAAAAATAATTATACATATACTACTGCGTATATATCTATATATACAGGGTGTTTCTAAACTTATGTCAAAGATTTAAAGGGCATATCTTAAGGGTAAAAATAAGAAAAAATTTCTATAAATATAGGTCCAAACATACTTTACTTCTGAATTATTAACTCCCTAAAGTTGGAGAAAAAAATCAAAAACTGTCAGACTTTTTCTTAGATTGTTAAAATTTTGCACAATACAATTAGTGAATACTTCATTTTTATGATTTTGATAATTTGATCCAATTTTGAGAGTGAGATATGAGTGCTAATCTTCATTTTTGAACCCATGTTTATAGGAACTTTTTTTCTCATTTTGATCCCTAGAATATGCCCTTAAATTTTTTGACATAGGTTTAAAAACACCCTGTATACAATATAAGCTTTAATTGTTATAAATAACACTTAATATTTTTTCATGATTATCCACGTGTTAAACCGCAAGAACTTAAGAATTTCAATTAAAAAATATTGTATGATGGAAACGACAAAAATATTCACTGAAATATAAAAATGAGTTATTCAACTCGCATTTATCGTATAACGATTATATCAATATTGCAATAACAGCTCAACTCGATATTCACATTGTTTCCAATTGTGTATCATGAATCGATATCATTATTTATACAACGCAATATCCTTCTCTGAAATCGGAATCTGTTTTCGAAATTTATTTCAATTAACAACATAACATTTCTATGCTAAGATATTTTGTATTAAACTTTTATTTTTTTCAAGTTGACTTTCTCTCCTGTAGAAAAGTTAAAGCTTATATAACTTTAGTATAGGATTTTAAAATATGCATATTGTGCTGTTACATTAAAGACACAAATTGCATTTTATTGACAGTTGCATAGAATTTGAGTGAAAATATGAAATAAAAATAATGTTTAGAGAACTACAACTATATCTCCCTCTGTCTTTTTCTTGTAGAAAGTGTACTTTTGATTGGTCATTAGCTCTCGTACATTTAATATGCTCATCTTTTTCTCTGTATTATTTCTTTTCCTCTTTCCCCGTTTCTACTTGTGCATCTTATGGATCGCATCTTTCATACATTAATAAAACGCCCGTAATATATATAAATACAATTACTGTATTTTTTTTTCAATAAATGATACTTAATTCTTTGCAATTATATATATCGAGAAAAACGGAACTCGTGGTTGTACATCACATTACTAAGAGCACTTAAACCACGCAACACTTAACTGCGTTATAAAAATACGCAATATTATTACAATAAAATAATTATTCGTAGTTCTTAATTCGATCAACTACATTTAGTTATCGAAAGTTTGTTACAGCCTTGCACCTTATCACAGTGTACGGTAGTTCCTTTCATTGCATTGCCTATAGAATTTCCACGAAAATACGGCAATCGCCATCAAACATGTAGCAAGAATAAAGCCACCTGCAATAAGGAGACATGCACAACTTATTGTTAGTATCAAACAAACAAGAAATCATTATTAAATGAATTATTTAATACTAAATAAATAAATTAAATATGTGTTAAAACTTTACTCTAAAATTCGTAAGAAAAATTTTATGAAAAGAACTCGTGTACTAATATACTTACAAATAAACACAATGTGTTGTATGCTACTTTAATTCTTTTAATTAAATTTTAAAACAAGTTTACTAATTTTTTTATTATTGTCTTATTGAAAGTGATATTGTTTAATCTCTATATAAACTAAAGTTAAATTATCTCTTTCGTACCAAAAAAGCTTAAACCATCAAAGTGGCGATCCATGGAAGGTGATGAAGTAGATGGTACAGCTGTTGTTTTTGCTCCAGTTGTAGTGACTATAGTTGTAGGTGTCGTAGCCTTAGTGCTTGTTGTCGATACAGTTGTAGTTGTAATTGTAGTAGGTTCAGGAGTAGTAGTATTTGGAGCAGTGGTAGTGGTAGTAGAAGGAGTAGTAGAAGGAGTAGTAGGAGTAGTAGGAGTAGTAGGAGTAGTAGGAGTAGTTTTTGGAGTAGGAGTAGTTTTTGGAGTAATGGTATTATTTGTTACAGAGGTTGAAGCGCTGGGTGTAGCAGTTGTTGTATCATTATTAATCTCTGTTATAGAATTTAGCACAGGACCAGATTTGTTACGTGCTTGTGTCTCATTCGTCGTCTGCGCTGTACCTGCATTTATGGAAAATCCATACATTATTTTTATTTACAAAGAAAACTTACCTGTATATTTTAATTATAATAAGAAACTATTTTCTCTATGAACTATGAATAAATGAATATAAATCTATTCATGATTTATCCATTCATAATAAGCAAACATATAAGCAGTGTGTATATATCTTAATATACATGTATACAACATGGTGTATACAAATATGTACATACACAATATATTAATCATGCACTAGTAACAATTAAAATCAATAATATATTATTTTCTTTAAATTTATAAAATATTTATAATCAATATACAATATAATAAATATATGTATAAAGTGCAAAGATAAAATTTATATTAAATTTCATTCCTTTATGATTTTAAAAATATTATTACAAATATAATTTCTTTTTTAAATAATTTCTAAGCATAAATTTCTTTCAAAAACATGTGTCGCAATACGACAAAAAATCAAAAAAACATGTATATATCGTCAACGACCACTATATTATTCTGACGACGAAGCATTATAACTCGCGTCGTCGCGCATACGTCGATCGTTATCGTATTCGACGTAGTCAAGTCCGCAAGATTTGACCAGTGGTCGGCGGAAAATCGATAACAGCATGAATCTACTTGAAATCACCGCCGCTGCTGACGTTATGTCCGTTGTTTAAACATGAAAATTGAGAACGTGTAATTAATTAATGCGTGAAAATCGCGGCGCGATTCGTTTACATTTTTATATTTTTGTTAATTTTTCATATTTTGTGCAGGCGAATCAGAAAACACGTATGTATCGCGATATTTCGGAAACAAAAAGAATGTCGAACGCAGTGAAAAAAAATATGCTTTAACATGTTTTTTTCGAGACAGCACACGTGCCTGACGTGCCGCTATCAGTAATTCAACGCGGGTAGGCGTTGCACAAGACAAAATCGCGGCTGCCTTTAATCCATTAACCGCATAAAAGCCGTTATTATGCACAATGTCGCACATGTACTATATATTGTATATGCATATATATAATATGCAGTCGCGCTAATGTCAAAGAATCAAAAAACTCACCATTGTCAGCTAACACTAGCGAGCCAATCGTTATGCAAAGTAACACGCTAATCGTGTAAGCCGACTTCATTTTGGTACGAGTCGTATCAAAAAGGGCTGAAATGTAATTCTTTCGTGCTGTTTGAAAATGCGCACGGACGATGTACACTCACGTTCGTATTATCAAAGAGACTGGCAGAGAGAAGACTGAGAGAGAGGCGATTTTCATTTTCGTGGGACGCTTTTAGTACGCCTACTAAAGCAGCGCCGTGCATCCACTTTTAGGAATTGAAACTACGTAGCCACATCCACTTACATCTACATTTTGATTTGTGGTTCGCATCCGTGCTAAATACCATCCACTTTCCGATTAATAAAATCTAAAATCCTTCTTGATGCATGCGTCCACATTTTATATCCATAAATTATAGATACATTTCATATTTATATAAATAACAAATATATACATATTTTTTTATGCAATATTTTTCATTTTAACATATATTCTAATATCTTTTAAGAGATATATCTTTTAAATTTCGTATCCATAATTTATGGATATAAAATGTGGACACGTACGTATGCATCAAAAACGATTTTAGATTTTATTTATCGAGAAGTGGATATATTTAGCAACGGACGCAAACCACAAACCGAAAAGTGGCTACGTAGTTTCAATTCCTAAAAGTGGATGCAGTGTGCACGGCGCTGCTTTACAGCCTACTAAAAGCGCCAACGAAAATCGCCAGCATGGCCTCTCTCAGGCTTTTCTCTGACCAGAGATAGGGAACAATCGGGAAGTGAAGGAAATGTAACGTTCGTATATTGGCAGCCTGTTGTCAGATTTTCTGTTACTGCGCATGCACGCGCGAAGCGAGAATTCTCGAAGGCAGATGCCACAACATAACCTTCGCGGCCTAACCTAGTCTGTCTACCGACTTGGTTGAGAGACAAGTTTATTTAAATAAAAAAAAGTGTACAAGACTGTACGAGTGCATTGAAGAAGAAAAAGAGATTCGAGTGCCTGAGTAATCATAATTGGACTAAATTGGTTAAAGGCACATTATATATTTACAAAAAAACAACCTAGTCTATCTATCATGCCACGTGTTTGATGATGCGAGTTCGAGATTTGACAGAAGATGTGAAATTACAAAGACAAATATTGATAAAGGAAGGGAAAGAAGAGGAGCTAAAGACTTTTCTCCAAGAAAATCATGAGAATATCGAAGGTCACGTAAGTTAAACGATCTTACAAATTTAGTGGTTTACTGTAAGAACCAAAATTAAACTCTAAAATTAAAATGTCTCGAATAACCGACGCCAAGGAAATGATCCTGACGAGCGAAATCAGCGGGGAGAGTTGGAGCGCCGCGGTATGGGATCCCCGGAATGGTTCTATGTTGTCGACGTACAAGAACGCGAATGCCGCGCTCGTACATCGCACTCTTCAGCTTCTGAGCGACAGCTACGTTCTGGGCGCCAATGCCACGAAGCCGCGTTTGCACATCTGGCCGCTGAACAGTCCGTCACCCTTGCCCAATGTCCACCTGAACACGCCAGGGAAGGTGAACGCCCTGACTTGCACCTCAAATGGTTCCTACATCATCGCCGCGGTGGACGAACAGCTGTTCATTTGGCAGACCTGCAACGGCAGAATACTGGCGAATCTAGCCAGGCACTATCAGACTGTCAGCTGCCTGGCGATCACGAAGGACGGTTCCCTGTTCGCCAGCGCCGGCGAGGATGGCCTAGTGTTCGTATGGTCTCTCTACAGAGCCTTGAACGATAAACAAGACTGTCCTCCGGTTCACGCCTTCTCCAATCATAACATGCCGATCAGAGATATGCTCTTTGGCTTTGGCGACGCTCGCGCCAGACTGTACACAGCCTCGTTGGACCGAAGGGCCAACATCTACGAACTCGGCAGCGGAGCCCTTCTGGTTTCAATAATCTTCGACGCGCCGCTCACAGCAATCATCGTCGACTCTCGCGAGAGCCAACTCTTCGTGGGCTGCACGACCGGTGACATATTCCAGAGTAATCTGCACGAGCCGCCACGGGGACTCGAGCAGCACGTGGAAAAGGACGAGAAGGATGCCGTGTTCAGAGCTCACAAGTCCCAAGTCACCGCCCTGTCGGTATCCGTAGACTGTTCTACTCTTCTGTCTGGATCGACCGATGGAGCCGTCCACATTTGGGATATCGTCAGCCGACAGGTGCTCAGAACGATTGAACATAAAGGGCCGGTTACCGCCGCATTTTTCGCGAAAGGATTTGACAATTTTCGCGCCTCCACTCTCGAACCACGCTTGGAAGTGCGGAATCTTCAAAGGACGTCGGAGGTTGATGGCAGAGAATCGAACGACGTTATCGAAGTGATCTCCAGAGGACGAAATCCGGCTGAGATTCTGGACTTTAAATCCTACGTAGGAAATTCTGTTGATTCTTCAGAACGAGAGAAATTGTTAAAACAAATAGCGAATTTGAAAGAAGAGAATCGAAAATTGAGCAAGATTAACGCCAACTTATTTAAGTATAGCGTCAAACATATTTTGCCAAAGACGATAGATGATGAATGATATTAGAGATAATAAAATTTTATCTATTTTTGAAACAAATTGTGTGAAAAAATTTAATTATAATACCTTACAATATAAAAAAACATATAGACTAAAAAAAAAAAAAAAGAAATATAGAGAAAGCCATTAGCTTTCATTTTTTCTTTATAAGAAAAAAATATGTTTTATCTTGTTAAAATATATAACAATCTTTTTACAGATTATAAAAATATAATTATGAAAAAGATTAAAAACATTTTTACATTCGAGAGGCTACATCTTTATACGTAAATTGTTTTATATTTTTCACGAATATGATAAATGCACAAATATTTTGCTGTATTATTCTTGTTTTTTATTATTTTATTATTTCATTTTCTTTCTATTTCTTATTGCTTCTCTTTTGTTGCGATATTCAAATATTTAGCTTTATCAAGGTCGAATGAGAAAATTTTGTATTTTATCAGAAACTTAATATTGCGAGGTATATTATATTCTTGTAGTGTTATCTGTAAAGGGCGTCACTAATTAGTATATAATTAGACGGGAAAATAATTTCTTTGGCGGATGATCTGGCACCGCCGAATCGAGAGATGACGTGTTATTCTTTATACTTCTCCCTAAAAATAAAATATTACAATATCCTTTTTCTAACGAGACGTAAACTAACTTGTAAGATATAAATGAAAATACTTGAATATTTTGCTATACATCTGAAGAAAAATGTTTTCTCGCAATGTTGATTAAAATATCTGTAAGGACGGTAAAGCGATCTTCGCTTTCTCGTTGGTCTTCACGCGATATACATTTTTTTTCTTATAAGGAGATATTAAGAAGTATACAATTAATAAAAAATCTGCTTTGAAAATATCAATTACTTCTTTCGCACGAAATAAATTCGTTAAACACATACATTCCGTATTCTTTATCGATATCCCTATACACGTGTACAATTAATTAGATAGCAAGTCAGTTAAATGTTAGCTACGATCTTCATCGAAGCTGCTTTATATTTAAATGAGCTGGTATACGCATACAAATGAAACGCTTCCGAGAACGCTATATATCTGTTACAGATAAATTAATCGCAAGGCAAGATCGAATGCACATTGTCCCTTCGGGCAAGTTAATGAGCCATCGGTTCGTCTGATTTTCAATTACATCCGATGCACCGTGACCATCCGTGAATTCCAATTGTATCGATCGTTCCACATTTTTTTATCTATTTTTATAGGAGAAATTTATTCGACAAGATTCAATAAAAGATTCCACAATTACGTATTCTCTATATTTTCTCTCCGTCACTGCAAATAAAATCTCTCTCTAAATTTTTTTATACATAAATAAAAGGGTCCATTCCATCAGAATTGCTCAGAGAACTTTATTGTACAAGTATATTGAAAAAAAAATTTATATATATATATATATATATATATTACAGCATTTACTGGAACGTAAAAAATATATAAATTAAGATAGATCAGTGTTATAAAATTTCGAATCTTTGAGAAACGGCTTTGACAAGTAGTGGGAATCTTTTCTATTCATAGTTTTGATGTTCGACGCAATGCATATCCAGTGTGTAAAAGAGGGAACGACGCGAAAAAAGTATCGCGCGAGCACGTTCATGTTAGGGAGATTATCCTCGCAATGGAAAATCGCACTCGGTGTCCAGAAAATGTCACGCACAATAATGCATCATAATCTGTCGCACGATAATCGCATCACGCGTGTACAAATCTATATTATTATCCAGTATCATTGTAATCGTGGCCTCCTTTTACACCTACGTCAGCATTGACCGAATTACTATAATTGATACCCCCCACATTCTATAGCTAGGAATGTTCAAAAGTGCGTCTGGGGATCAATTTATTTTTTGATAAATAGAGCTTTCCATCCTGAGGGGTTGCGTAGCACATCGAAATCGACCTTTTCGTGAAAATTAATAATATATATCTCCATACTATACATTGCCTGTATAAAATGATGGTTAATATTTACACTGACATGTCATATAAAAAAAGGAAGCTTTTGAATGAAATATTTAAAATATTATATTGAGAAAAAGAGAAGATATCATGTAAAAAGCAGCTCATTTTTTTATAGAAAAATATCTATAATAAAATATATTTTTTTATTTGACGACATATTAAATCGATATAATTTTCATGGTTAAATGAATAAAATTGATTTACATTAAAATCGCCGATAATATTTATCGACATTATTTCGCCAAGATCGTTTTTGGCCGACAATATATGTATATATTTATGAATATACAAATGTTTGTATCTTTATAATACATTTGATTAATCAAGTAACTCATTTTCATAAGAGAATATAATGTCAATTAAAATCTGTGAAAATTTGTTCTTAATTTGTAGCAAATCATAAATTCATGATAACTTATCTTAGATTTTTTTTTTATAAATTAACGTTAGATTAGAACTTTAATTTTTGATTCGAAAAATATCTAGATCGTTATGCAGATCGCGGAAAATATATCACATCACAAGTGGGGGCGAGAAACGAGTCGGAGGCTGTACGATAAGGGGGTTGAACCCCTCTTGGGGCGGCAATTTCATGATCGGGTGGAGTGGCGCAACCCTGGTGGAGGCGCAAGGTATAAAATCGGATGTCGGGTAACAGGAGGCATTCAGTGTCAGTGCGATTCTAAGCTTCGCAGCATCACTATTTAAAATTTTGATCATCCGTGTCATAAAAATGCAGGACAACCGATTTTTCACATATCTCATAGTACTTCTGGTATTTTCTACTTCTCTCAATCGTAAGTCAATATTACGAGATTTATATAAGTTTTAAAGGATTTTCTCTTTCTTAATCTTCAGTCATTAACAGAGAGTCGTTCTTATCAATCCTTGTAAGTTTAATCAAAGGACAAGCAAATTTCAGCCTGATTTATGATTGTCAAATTTATTGCCTTGATAAGTTTTAATTTTCTGCTATATACAGAGTGTCCGGTAACTAACGGATCAATGATTAAGGGCGGATTCTCTGGCCAATTTGGAGACGATTTTTCCTTAGCAAAAATGTTGAGAAGTCAATAATTTTCGAGTTATAAGCGATTGAAAAAAATGGGTTTTTTGAAAACTAAACGTTTTGGAGTTAAAAGTCTAACATAATTACATTTTTCAGTTAATTTCAGGTAGAGTTTACTATAATAAAATTTTAATTTGAGGCTTACAATTAGTTATAAAGATACATAATGACAAATATTGGAAAGTTATAAAAAATGATGACTTTTTTCGACATTTTCACTGAGGAAAAATCGTTCCCAAATTGACCAAAGAATCCATTTGTAATTGTTGGTCCGTTAGTTACCGGACATCCTGTATAATTTAAAATTGAAGCGTGTTGAATTAAAAAAATGATTTAAATTGGATGTAAATTTTTATTTTTTTAATTGATTTTTTTCTACTTAAATATATAAATATTTAAATATTCGAATATTTAAAATTTAAATTTGAGGCTTAATTAAAAAATATATGAAAAGAAAAAGAGAAATCGAGAGAATTATATTATGTTTGATATATGAAGATGCTTGATTAAATTGTTTACTAAAAATCGATATAATGGAAATAATAAATATCACGAGTGATAAGGATTGACACCTAATCTAATATTCAAAGTTACATTTTTTTCATTATCTTGCAACTAAAGCATTAGTTAATTAATTCTCAGCAAGACGAAACTGTAACTTGATGCAACAATTCCCGACACGACGTAAAAATGAAATAGGATAGGGAATTAAGTGCAAAAAAACTGTAGCGGCGCGGAAAAAAAATATTGTTATTAGATTCCCGCAGGAAATTGTTGAGCGTCACGAGTGCGAGTGTAAATTAAATTGTTAAGGATTATAATGTCCAACCTCTGATGAAAAAACGTCGACGACATCCTATTTATTTTTCAGTTGCCAGATGCTCGGTCGGCCAGCAGTTTGAATCCGCCAGAGGCAAGAAACTCTCGCATGAGTGTCGCATATTTTCATAACTTTTATGTGGCATTTTTCATATATATTATACACTTTTACATTATATGCCTAATTTTATATAAAAGTTTTATGTCCAAGTATACAATATACATATATATATATGTTATGATTGTGGTGAAAGATGACAATCTTTTAAATGTTTTCTTTAAATTTATTTTACACGTCTCTTGCGACTTCTCGTGCTTTAGTTACTGATTGCAAATATATATCTTTAAAATTTTATTATGGCTTAGCAATATAGTTTTTATTTAAATAAATTAATATGAGTTTATTGAAACTTTTAGTAAAATTTAATAAACTTTTAATAACAAAATGTAGATGTGTTTTTTTATCCATGTTTTTCGACAGTTATTATGCTTCAATATTTTTCTACATATATAATTTTGTGTGTGTATGTGTATACCCGTTATATAAATTATTATATAGTTTTCAAATGGACTTTATAACACATGTGTAGCAAATAAACACAATATTTAATTTCGATTTATAAATTTTGATTGAAAATAAACGACGGCCGCGGACAGTTTGAATAGGGAAGAGAAGAACATTTAATTTGTTTTGCGGATTGTATGTATTGTATTTGAGATTTATACTTTTTTTAATTGTAATGACTATCTTTTGATTTCTTGAATTTTTTGTATGTTGTAGCTACTGAAGAAGACCCGAAGTGGGTCGAAACGTTTAGAATTGAATAAATGAGCTTTATGTGAGATCTCATTTCTGTTTATTAATTTTTGTGCATGACATCCGCACAGGCTCCGATTGGCGTCGATATTTCATTTTTATTGTAACACAATAATTCGAGCCGAGTACAAAAGTTTTTATTTTGAAAATAACTTGTCTGAAAAAAAAATTTATAATTATATTTTGTAACTCTCAAGAAGAATGCAGCTCGAATAATTTCAAGCGTACGTCATTTTAATTAGCCATTGTGTCACTCGATGTTTTAGAGGGTCAAAAGTTGAAAGCCAACGATAGGCGATCCGCTGGATTGGTGCCGTATCCTAGGATCGGTCGAAATTCGGAAATATCGAGTTTTTCCAGATCGGAGCGCGCTTTAGGTATAATACAAAGACCTCGAGTCGGACGATCCGATGTGTCGAGCTTGAGCAATTTGCATCGTTTTCACGACTTATCGTCCGATGCTGACATCGAGTTCTATTCTGTTGACATGGATCCTGATGCTGTCTTAAATTCTGATTACGAAGGTTTGAATAACTTCCTAAAAGTAATAAATATATTAACAAAATTATAAAAAAATATATCCAACTTTTAATATAAACTAGTGGATAAATAAAAATTATCGGATGTTATAGAAATAAATAATTTTAAAAATAAAAATATTGCTGCCAAATATTCTAGCATCCAAACATTTTCATATGGAGACGCAACATAGTACAAACATTTCATGTATCACTTTTGGAATCAATATCCGGTCTTGTTATTAATTAAAGCAGCTTTTATCGGATTGAGTAAAATCTATCGAAAAATACGAACAGACTGTATTAATGAATTAATATGAAACAATATAGTATTATATATGGCATACGTTTGTAGCTTTTAACGAGTCAGTATATTTATCAGGCCTTGTTACACCTTTCTCAGGATCTCGTTTATTACGTTTAAACAAATTCCAATAAAACGTATATAAATATTATGCATTTTTGTCTACATATGTACTATATCTTGGGTCATTAACTGTATTTTTTTTTTATCGTAGAATACGCAAACAAACCGATAGCGCTTAAATATGCTGACAAGCTGCAAAAAGACGGTTCCTGGTTATTACCTGATCATATTTATGGATATAAAGATCTTCACTTTGCGCAAAAGATGAATGACCCTCGACTTTATTACTCTATTTTGCGAGGTATGTATAATAAAATATATTTTTTTATTTTGCATTATAAACATGAATAGATTTAGATTAACTTACGTCAGATTGTGATTTATTTTTTATGCAGTTTGTGATTTAAAATCATGTAAATAATCAATTGTTTGTTAAATTGATTTTGTTAAAATTGAAATATTGAAAACGTTTTTATTTCATGTCCAACACAATACGATATTGAAAATTCATTATATAAAGAGTATTAATGAATAAATCGCGATAATGAGTACCGACATCTTATTATAGAAAGTATTGATCATATTATTTTCGCTAAATTAAATATTCTCTCAGAATATAATCTTGTCATGAATGTTTAATTTAGATATCGACTGTCACATTCATTCTTTGATTGACATTAGTCGATTTTCTATGAAGAAACGAAGAGTCGTGCGAATGGCTCTACTTTATTATTAATCTTTACATGAGAGCGGTTTAAGACAGTCTTTCCCGCAATATCTCGATCGATGTCTTTTTCCAGATTCTCGAAATACTCAAGGCCAAGGAGGATATACTCCAAGATTAGGTCGTGAAAATGAACACGACGCCGGGAATTTCCCGTAACTTATTCACGCTCCGATCACCTGCCTCGCAAACTTAGCGGATTGTTAATTGAAAGGAAAGAAGAGGAACTTACTATCACAAAAGACGTCATTATAGGCACGTAACGTGTGATGCTTTCGATCGTTTCCTCATTTGCATCGGTGACCCACTTTATCCTTGCACTTTGTACGCAAGTTATGCGCAACACAATACATAATCTGCATTTAAATATTGCAATTTATAATCTTACACGCAATCCTCGCCTTGTGTCATCACGAATAATAATTTTCTGATAAAGCGGTCTGATTTAGGAGCGATTCGGCGGATGTAATTTTGCATGGATTTTTACTGCAAAATAATTTAATTTGATGTTCATTTATATATATATATATATATATATATATATATATATATATATATATGATGATGAATATAAAACGATGAAGAAAAGAATGGAAATAAAAAAGTTTAGTTCATATTACGCTAACTAAGCTAAATATAGTGTGACTTGTTTTTCATAATATATTTCTGACAAATTCCAACTGAAAATGTGCGTTTTCGCATTTTTTAATTATTTGATTACATATAACAATTTGTACAAATAGATCCTATTACTAACAATATAGTTAAACTTTGATACGATATTTTTAATACATAATACATAGAAAGCCGTAACCGATTAGAGGTAGAATTTTTTTAGAAAAAAAAAATAATCCGTACAGCTTTTTGTTTTATTTTTAGCATATAAATTGGGTACAGAAAAACGATACTATATGTTGTTTCAACTTTTCAATGCCAAATATCTCTCTTGACTTTTTCGTTTATAAAATGTGACTTATATGCCAATGTGTGAATGTTATAATCCAACTTTCTCTCTCTCTCTCTCTCTCTCTCTCTCTCTCTGTAAACATAAACATATACGATATGATACATCGTTTTTTGAGAGTGCATAACGAACGCAATAAGACAATACACAACAGTGACACGATGTATGTAAAATTCAATGATTTTATTAATTGACAAAGTGTTCATAATGAATATTATTCATGTATATAACGCGTCGGCGTGCGCGCGCAATTTGCAACGACCGGATCCACGCATGTACATACACGAATGTTGTAATGTAATGTAATAACAAATATGTACACACGTAGAGAGTACATAACAAACTAGTGATACACTTTGGAGAATGAATGGGAGGAAGATAATGTGTGAGATGTGCGCGGCGCGTTTGGCTCGCGCTAGCCCAAAAGTCCTTCGTCCGAAGAAATAGTAGTCGTGAAATATGTACAAACGTCGCGCCTCTCGCTTCGGATTATTTAGCGGAGGCTACAGAAGAGATATTTTGTTTTATAGATCTAAAGTTCTCTCTCACGCACTCGTTCACCACACACACACACACACGCACACACGCACACGCACACGCAAATACGCATTCATTGTGGGCGCAAACGGCCGCTGGCCGGACAAGCGGGCAAGGCGGGCAGACAAGCATAGACAAACAGATATTCGGTAAGTGTCCGGCAGTCATGGCCGATATCGAACCCCCTCGATCGAATGCTCCGTATATTAATCTCGGTAACGCGCACGGCTCGCGCGATATCGATTTCCTTTCGGTGTCCTCTACCCGCATACCGATTCGCCGGACTCATGTCGAAGGGAAGAACGACTTGGACCGCACTCGCGGGAAATGTCTAATCGCGACTAACATTCACGTCGTCTTCCCAAGGGGTGTATCCGGCTATCCGTCGATGATTACTTATTCGTGAGATCTCCCAGAAATGTTCGTCGAAATTGTCACATCGACATGCGTTAACCTGCGTCTCCCATCGATCTTTTACACTTTCTTCCTTTTCTCAAGGTGATGAAGTTCTCGAGGAAAATCGTCTAAATGAACTACGCCCATCTATTAGTGTCTAAACATAGTATAAAAATTCAAAAAGCTTTGAAGCTGTTTAAGGAATATCAAAGATATCTTCGTGTGTTTTTGAATCGTTTAAATTGTCCGAGAGAAGAAAAAAAAATGGTTTTCCAGATCGTTAGATGAATTTTGTTCGGCCTTTTATAATAAGCGATACACACACAATAGTCGAGTCTGCTATCGATAAAAATTGTTTAATTGCTGAAAATAACTTATCTTGATAAACAAACGCTAGTTAAAAATTTTGATTCGATAAGTGGCAGTCTAGAGTTGCGATCAATATTGTTACAACGCCAAGTCTCTCCTTGGCGATCACACGATGATTCGGCGAGCATACGATGCTAGAATGAAAGTTCTTTGATACAAATAATGTGACGCGTGTCATTGTCAAATTAGCGACTGGCTGACACAAAGGATGATTCGTTGCGTTCCCCATCGAGGATCGTACACGGATCACTCGTTCGAAGCGCGCGCATGCGTTCTCAAGGGAAGTCAGTCTTTGAACGACTCCTATGATACACAGTCAATATTCCCGCGCGCTAATTGTTGTCACATCTAATAACGTCCGGCCGATAATGGACACTCCGCAGTATATCGGGGGAAACGTTATTAGCGGAATATTATCGATTACGAAATTGGTATGCGCGACAATATGTATAACGATAGGAGAGGAGATGAGCCGCGGATTCCCTTTAGAGAGAAACGAATTCGTGCGGGGGTTGAATGATCCGGGGCGGCGGTGGCGGCGACAATCGCAGGTCTATGTCCGTCAACGAGAACGCGGAACTGCCGTTCGCTGTGATACGGGGTCCCATGTTATCGTAGGGCGAACCGGTGCCGGCAACCTCGGCGGAACGCAAGGCCCGGCGCGGTAGCGTGGCAAAGCTGGAAACGTTGACAGCCGCGGACGGTATCTTGCCGCCCGCACAGCTGGCTGTGACGGCCGCCCCGGCGCCGCTGACCGCATGGACGGGGATGTCTAAGAGATCCGGGTAGCAGCGCTCCGACGACGCGTCCTGCGGCAGCGACACGGAGATGAAGATGTTGCCGAAGATCCCGGCCGGAAGGACGCCGCTGGTGAATTCAGGCGGCGGGGGCGGAAATACGTTGGCCGCGGCGGCGGCGGTGCACGAAACCGCGCGAATCGCGTTCACCGCGCTTTCCGCGGGTCGCAACCGCTCGACGGTCACGGTGGCCGCGGCCATGGGGTCGCAAATGGAGCCACGCTCGGCTAATTCGAGGTCACCGGTGCTACAGGCCTCGTCGAGGCTGCCATGGCCGCTGCCGCGCTCGTTGCTGTTGCCGGGCGTCGTGGTCGTGGTGACGGAGAGGTCTAGAAGTTTCTTCTCCTGATCGCCGAAGCTGCTGCTGCTCTGCAGCTTCATCTTCTCGCGCTTCCGGTGCCGCCGACCGCCGCTGCACAGGCAAAGAGCCAGGAGAACGGCCGAAATGGAAGCGCACGCGGCTGCCGCGCCACCGCCGGCCAGGCTCACCCAGAGGAGCCAGTTGTCGCTCTGAGAGAGAGTCGGGGCCGTGTAGACGCGGGGTATAGCTATGCTGACCGTGCCCCGGGCGACGCCAGCGATGTTCTTCGCGACACAGGTGTACTCGCCTGCCTCGCTGTCGCTGGCGTTGTAAACCGTCAGGTTGCTCCATCGATCCGGGACGGTTCTGGACAACGCGGATTTGGAAGACGCACTGACCTCGGACGTCGTGTAGACGACGAGAGGCCCGGTGTATAATTGATCGGTCGATTTAGTCGCGTTAACCGGACCGCCATTCAGCTGCCACCAGACTTCCGGCTCGGGATCGCCGGACGCCAAACAAGCTAGGCTGAGATTGCCGTTGGTTTCCTCCTGTGCGCTACTCGCTACAACAGACACTTCCGGCTCGCAGGCGAACTCGACGGGCTTGACGTCTTCCCACCTACGACCCTCTAATTTCGACGGACCCGTGCAGATCTGTGGAACGGAGTACAACTTGCTGGGGGCTTCGGGAATGAGCCAGATGCGAAAATCTCGCAATCTGCAGTCGCATTTCCACCTATTGCCGTCCAGCGTCACGGTTTTCAATCGGGACAGATTGGATATCACCGAGGCCTCCAGATACTCCAGCTGATTGCCGTCCAGCTTTAGGAACTCCAAGCCGCTCAATCGGGCGAAGGCCTGTCCGTGTACTTCGGTCAAGGAGCACTTTTCCAGTTCTAAATTCCGCAGATGCTGGAGCACGGGAAATTGTAGATTACGCAGAGTACCGAGCGGATTTCCGCTGAGTATCAGAATACGCAGCCGCTCGTTCCCGAGGAACGTGTCCGGCTCCAGAGTCGCCACGTGATTGTTCGACAGATCGATCTCGACAAGTATCCTCATGTCCTTGAAGGAGTCCGCGTGGATCTTGTGAATGCCGGCCTTGCGCAGGAAGACCCGTTGCAGATTCACCAGGCCGGCCAGCTTGAACACCTCCGCCTGCAACGCGGGTATCATGTTCCCGGACAAATCGAGGACCTGCATGTCCGGGTCGAGGGACGCCGGCAACGATGTCAGGCCGGCGTCCCCACACAGAGCGGATTTCTTGCCGGAGGTCCACTTGCATCGGCATACCGCGGGGCAGTCGGTCCAATCCGGGAAGGCGACCGCTCGTGACAGTAAGGCGAAACACCCCGTCAGGAGGAAGAGGGCGAGTAGTATGTGCCCTCCTAGAGGGTGAGGCCTTGTCACTAACATAACACCGGTCCTTTTATCGGTGCTCTCTTCCGAGGTCCGCTGACCCCTTCTCTCGTTTCCGGGGGGCGAGAAACAGGTCGATTCCACCGCAACAGACGATGACACTTCTCCGTTTCACCGGCGAGCTGCGGAATAAAGGCCATGCGTCAGCATCTCCTCTCGTAATCGATTGTTTGTGTACTCGATATTTTGCGGTCGCCGCGGTGTCTCATCAAAGATTTGCGCTCGCGACCGATTTATCGTCGCTGGTCCGACATTGGCCGTCGTTTTGGGAGGCGTTCGAATGAAAAGAAAAAAAAAAAAAAAAAAAAACGAGGCGAGTACGAACCGAGCAGCAGTCTCTATCGTTACCGGAAAATAGGAATTTAATATAGGCGGAAGAATAGGATGTTGGCGTATAAAAGGACGGTCGCGCATAAAAGAAGAAATATTACATTGCTGAAATAACAGATAGCTCGCGACAGACTAGTGGAGAACCGTTTTTGTGCTAATACGAAACGATCGTACGTCACATCAGTCTCCGATTTCTAATAAGTCTATGATAAACGAGTTTTACATGTAATTTTACATATTTGTCTAAAGTAAAAATTCTTGTGCCTCTTTTCATAAAATGCAATTGTTCAAGACAGTACGATGAAGCGCGACGGAATAAGCGAAAGAAAGACAATAAGATAAAATAATTCTCAGGGGCGAGAGAAGTTTTTTTTCTTATTCTTACTCGTTTATGGTCGCCTAAGCGTGCCGTCCGCGACACTGAATAAGGCCGTCATGCTCGCGTGGACGCTTCCATTGTCTCTTGTCAGGAGTTTTCATTTCGCAGACCTGGCCTGTCGTCGTAGCGGCGGCATTGTCAGCGGATTCTCAGATCTCATTCTGATTAAACGAGCGCCATAAGCGCGCCCGTATCAGTTTAAATCAGATCCAGCCAGTCACTTTTTTTATGTCTGCGGCGACGATTTAATCTGGAAAAATTACGAGTTTTATATAAGTTACAATGTTTTCAATGTCATCTCGCCGAGGCACATCGCGATGCAGAAGCACTTACTCGAGTACCAGGGGGATGAATCGGATTCCTCCGATTGCGCAGTGCCGTTATGATATGCAGTTCGTAACGAGTACGAGTAACTTCGATCGAATCACGATGTGGAACCGATCAGAAAGGAACAGCGCGTGACAAAGTATCGATTATGTCACCGATATGAATTTTAAATCCCCGCCTCGACGCTCCTCGCGCTCGACGTATTAATCGACGAGGAAATATGCCTGTCTCGCCATATTATAATCGCTGAGTTCGCTAACCGTGCTACCAACTCCCTCCCCGTCGTCGTCGTCGTCGTCGTTATCGTCGTCGTCGTTGGCGCGAGCCGTAATCCACACCAGGGGCGGCTTATCACACTTATCATAAATTAATCGCGAGCCCGACGAGGAACCCGGAAGAGTTCGCGGGATCGCGATTAACTCTCTCATGGAGTACAAGCGTCGAGTTACGGCCAAGAGTAGGTCGGTGTCGCCTTTCGTTTGGCTTTCGCAGGCGCGAACACGACGACACGGTTGCGGCGTAATTGAGTTGAGGGAAAGTTTTCCCGTCGAATTTGCAGGCAGTGACGATAGTTTCGGTCCGCGTAGCTCGCGTAGTTGTTGGCAAAACGCGATCCTCGCGCGCGAATCAACGCGGCGTCGAACTTTTTTTACTCCAAGTCTCCTCGGCACTCTTCCCCTCTCTTCTACCCCGACCCCGTTGACCGATCCTGACCTGACAAGCGTGACATCGGTCGACGGCCATCAACCGCGCAGACCCTCATCAGTTTACCTCGCGTCACGTCGTCTGATAAACTCGAATTAGCGCACGTAACGGAGCGAAAAAGATTCCCGCGGACGCGCTTTTAACCAATCACAGGACCGCTTACAGCCTCCCTTCGACCTTAAAGACGAGCGTACACTGAGCCTGTCGCTCCCGCGATAATTTCATCTACTGCGTATCGCGCACTCTTCTCCTTCTCGAGCTTCAGAATCTTCGTTGAAAGACGGAACTTCACCACTGACGATCGCGTACGAAGAGATTAATCGGAACGAATGACCTTCGCGCACTTCAGAAATGTCTTCAACGTCGAAAACCAGTGAGAGGAAACGCGCTCTCTCGTTCCTTCCTCCCTCCGAAATGAACGACGTAATGTCACTACGCACTGTCACTTGTCGCACCTCTCTTCCCGTACTCTTTGTCGTCCGTGCTCGCCCTCACGAGAGGACACCCTCCACTTGGGCCATGAGGTCGTCAACTGGGCATCGACGTCCTCTCTAACACTTTTTTCTACGATCAATCAGTCCCCGTATCGGCGGAACCTCGGCGGGCATCCGTACAAATCGCTCTGCACGAACTCGACCGATGCTGGACCGTACGGAGGACGACACGAAGATCGCGCGGAGTTCGTTCCATTGCCGGAGCACTTCATCGGGTCTCGTTTCGTAGGGAACGGCCTTGGGATTATTATCGAGCGGGACACCGATCTGCGGGTCGACCGATCGACCGAACAACACGCCGGCACCCAAATCCAGGCCGGGTGCTTCGATATAATAATCGTCACTTTTTTTCCCTCTCTGTCTCTTGACGAACGGCCGCGGAGAGCCGCAGATTTGCCGCAGCGGCCACTGGCACGATGGATCTGTATCCGTTTCTCTTTCGCGTGCGCGGCGCCCTCTCCTCTGCACCCTCCACCCCCTGCCCCTTCTCTCGACGGACCTCCTTCGCGATCTCTCTTTCCTCCCTCTCTCTCTCTCTCTCTCTCTCTTTCCCTCGCCCTGTTCCGTTTACCCTTTCCGGTTTCCTAGCCGTCTGCGGGCAGCACCGTCGAACTCTGAGTAGCGGTTCAATGCTAGTAATATCATCCCATCCCCCTTCTATCTACCTCGTATCTTCCTTCCCGTTTCGCGTCTTCAACATTCTTTGACGAGTCCCTTCTTCGGTGGATCTTGCTCTCGCGCGAGCCGAGGATTCCAACAGGAGGATTGCTCTTCGCGTACAACCGAATCGGTCAGAGCAAGGACTTGGGGCGATGAAAGCGTAACGGCGCGGAATTCACTGGAAGCTGTTAATGGTCTGACTGGTGCAGGCGCAGCTTCCTTCGTTCAAGGAAAATCGATTTTCCCTTCGGTGACGATGCTGAGACCCTACGTCGTTTGATCGTCGAGCGGGAGATTAACCACGCTCGACGGATTCTATGTTATCGACTAGAGACATTCCTGCGAGATACTCACCAGGTTGAAACTTCTACGTTAATCTGACCTATCAGCGGCATCGCTGGCTTTATGCTAAACTTCGAAACAATATCAAAGTATCGATGAGTAACTATTGTTTAGGCAAGAAACATTAGAGAATAGGAGAGAAAGGAGAATCGATGATGGGAGATGATAACAGATACTAATTGGACTTGATAAAGGAACTCAACCAGATTCGCCGAAGTATAGCTTGTTCTCACGTTTCCAAGCGTTTATTGCAAGACAATGCTGTGGTATCGATGGGGCAGCCATTGTTTAGATAACGGATCCCTCAACGATAGGATAGGAAGAATCGAATCCTTCGTAGGATATGAGCGGCTAATTGATGGATGAAGGATGAGTCGAATACTGTGCCGCCGGAAAGCGTGTGTTCTCGTGTGTTCTACGTTTTCAAGCTTTTATTACAAGAATATAGTATAAACTTTTGCTCGATAGCGCGCGCTTCATGGCGCGTGAATTTTTATACATATAATTGCATCTCTCAACCCTTCGCGCAGGCCACGATAGTCATAGCTTTTTTTTCGATAGTGTGTTACCGATATATGTATAATAATAGATCTTATACGATTAGCTTATCTCGTCTAACTTGTGATCTATAGGTATATCTGTTTTTTTTTTCTTCTGGTTTAACTGGAAACATACTTGGCAATTCACGTCTAATAAGTACAACGAAGCATCTTTTTTTTTTTTTTTTTTTTTTAAATCTCGACCTCTCGACGCCGACGTTGGGCGCCGTCGGTCATCTCTCGCGCGTTCTATCTGCTGTAATTATTTTTTTTTTTTTTGTGACCCGGCGTCACACGCCTGTAATTGATATGTCAATTTTTTCCTTACAGCGAAGTTCCAGCTCGTTCCGGGGAAAAGCGTAGTTACTGCGAATGTCGACCTCACGGCAGTGCTGGGTATTATTTCCAGCTATTGGCTGAAAAGGTAGACAACGAAACGAATTTTAATGCAATCGGAAAAATAAACTGCGTTTTTCTATAAAACTTCTGACAGCTCCTAGGCGAAGACGTTAAAGCGATAAGTTCAGCGTTCTTATACAATCTCAAAGTTAATGAGAGTGTCGTGAATATTATAATTTTGTGACTGATAATCTTGTGAGAAACGATTGAAGTCTACGTGTCTTGTGTCTGTTAAATTTCTAATTTTGTTGATTTAAGTGTTTGTAATTGATTTTATCCAATACCTTTGTAATAAATGTCCCTGTTCATCGTCGGACAATTCTTCGGACCCTAAAGACGTGATATGAAAATTAGCGCGATTAGCCTTTATAATATTTGAAGGTATATATATATGTATATATATATATATATATCGCATATATATTATGGCGTACCTGAACATTAAAATCAATATTTGTCCGAACGGGACGATGATGAAGGGGTTGCGGTGGTCTAAAGTTATTTGCAAGCGGAGCATTTGGTTGTTTTTCGTCCCCTTGCATCAATTGCCTCAGAGCGTGTAGCTGCAATAATTACGAAAACATCTGAATTATGAAATACAGCGTAAGTAATGAGTAATAATGAAAAATGTAGGTATATATATTCTCGATATGCTAGTTTTTTGTAATGTGGTTTTTATATTAACTAAATCATTGAGATATAACAGGAAAATTTTATAGAGGAAAAACTGATTAATTATAGATAAAACGATTAATTTCCGTAGGGGGGTTAAAGGAATATTGAAATTAAATCTCAAATATGAGATTATTTCATGTTTTAAAAAATCTTGGCAGTGACCAAGTAAAATTTGGTGCCTTGTGCACAGATATTTAATTCCAACGAAAAAATTTAGTTTCGTTGGGATAACGCACTGTCTTCCGCGATCGGCTCTTATCGCCTGTCTTATACTTTAAATTTATATTTATATATGACAGAGCCTTGTTAAACTCTTAACTTTAAAACGATTAAATTTATGATGATCCTAAATCAGTTTTAACATTCATATGAATATTATACTTGAAAGTTGAAATAAAATTCATCTTTAATCCGATTCAAGCTCCATTATTACATAACATAAGGTACGAGTGATTTTATCACCTCGGTGAATATGCGATCGATATCAAGTAATAACAACATTTGCAATTCTGATGTGACAGCTAATTTAAATACATGATCGATTATCACAAATGTTATTGTATGAAAGAGAGAGATGAGAGTATGAGAGGGGGGAGAGAGAGAGTATGAAGTTTAGAGAGCTGAACTTATACATCAAAAATAAATTTACTCGTCTACTACTATGCTATTATAAGATTTCTCAATGAAACTTAAGTTTATTAATAAAACTAGCTACTTTATTAATTTACAAGAGAGAGCAGCAGCTTCCAGCCAAACTTGCTTAATCTTTTATATTAATTATTTGTGATTGAGCGTGTATATTTTATTTATTAAAACAAGATTATTATAAGCTAAAAAATTAAATTTTAAACACTGTTACTGTACTATAGAATTTATCCATTTCTTTAAATATTCAACATATTTTTCTCTTGAATTTCTTGTGCTTAAAAAAATATGATAATAAAATATATATATATAAGTCAATAAAGAGTTTTGCAAGACCTGACAAATAAAAATTTTTAACGTAGTAATGCTCTCTGCAGGATACGACGAGTTTAATCAGTTTCTCGTTTTTCCTCCTTATTTCGTAATATTTTAATTACGCCAAGTTATTCATGAAGCACGATGTTTTAGAGATTCGTCCTCTTAATGATCGGAATTGCATAATTGAGTGGAGTCTCTGTACTTCACCCTCGCGAACCCTCTCGAGTGCGGGGCGTGCGGTTGCATTTTAAAGCAGCGACCGTGGTGGCACGGCGATACTTGCCTGCTGCTTGGTGATGTATATGGGCTTGTTGAGGATGATCCATGTGGTGGTCTCGTGACACGCCGGCATCGTGGTGGAGCCGTCGTATGTCATGTAATGCTTCGTGTCCGGCAGAAGTTCGCGCACCCCGAAACGTTTAATTTCCATGGCCTGTCCTGTGCAATTCATACGGTCGATAACGTCAACTTTGTTCATGCATATATATATATATATATATACATATACACGTGTGTGTCCCTCGATTACTATCGACGCCGCGGTATACACAGTTGATACCTACGTCGTTACGTATCGCTAAGCTTATCGTGCACACACCGCTCGATCATATTTGCATACGTCGAAGAACACTCGCGCTCCCTTAAAGAATGATGGTAGTAATTATCGATTTATCTTCTTGGTAAAAAGTTGGCGACAAAACCACGCCAAGTTTTCAAAAAGTTATAATGCATGCCATCATCAAACTTTCGAAGGTACATCAATCTTTCCACTTTTTTATTCCAACACAAAATTTGTATCCCAAGAGATCTAAATTTACTAAAAAAAAAAAAAAAAAAAAAAAAAAAAATGAAAAGTGTATATGTCATATTGTATTATTGTGTCTATTTGCGCGGATAAAAAAATCTTACTTATATCTGCAATTAATTATACTAATTTGGACTGTTATGGAAATCCTGTGAGAATTCTGAGATTGATCGCGTCTAAAATTTGTCAGCTAAAATCAGAGCGTCGCTTTCGCTGAATTCATTGTGACTCATCCGTTATATACTCTCCCAAAATAGATATAGTTCTCTCATTACATTATTGGATTTCTCACCTCCGTATTTGATTTTATCCAGCTGCTGCGTGAACGTTCTTAGCTCCGGGTTCGAGAGGTCGCCTACCTAGAAAAGGGCCGAGAAAGAGTCTATCACGTATCGCTTATTCCGATCTGTATTCTACGCGCGATAAGCGTTGACAGGAGAGATTAGACATGTACCTGTAAAAGAAGCGACACTGCCACGATTCCCTGCGCTCTGTGCAGGGCATCCGAGAAGTTGTTGTAGAGCTGCGAATTGAAGCCGAATATTTGGAGCTGCGAGAACAAAAAATTATTAACGTATTAAATCCTTTTCTAACAGTGCCTTACATAGAAAATATTTTAATTGTCGTAAAACTTTTTAATGATAGAAATGGAGAAATTGCAAAAAATATCGCAGATATTTTTCATCGAACGTTTTATTTCAATTATTACCCTTGTAATTTTTTTTTTTTTTTTTTTTTTTTTTTTTACCTCGGCAGGAAAAGCGTGTCCATCGACAGTGTGCTCGCTGCCGATGCGATCGTCCGCGCCAAAGTGTAGATGAATCTCGTGAAACTGATAACGATAACTGAGCGGACCGCCGGAGATGTTGACGGGATGACGAGTGTCGTTTTCTACGGCAAACACGACGCTGTGTCCGGTGTTCGCCAGTACGCCATTAATTCTGTGCTTGTCTAAGTGAAGCGGTTGTAAATTCGGGTCGAAAAGCAGTCGAGTAGGCTCGAGATTGACCGGTGATTGTCTTCGACCTTTGTTGCAGAGCCACCATTCCGGGTTGATGAGCCCCCAGAAGGCAGGACCTTTGAATACGATCGATTTTTTCTTTCTCGCAAAACATGTTAGGCAATCGAAGGGAAATTGTATTGTTGACGTTTTGATTTGAAATAAAAAAACGAGAATCGATTCGGATATATCTTACCGGAAATACCGTCGTACGTCCACCATTCCTCCCAGCTAACGGGTGTCGATTCTGCAAACGTTTCGTTATTAACGAGCATTATGATCTTCACGAGACGTCCAATAATTGAGTGTAACTTTGTGAATATTGGATTAATTTATTGTTTCATGTTAAAGGAGAACAAAGGGCTCTTTGTGCAAATGGAATTGCATTAGGTAAATGTATTGGACTTTCTAATCACTTCTAATAGCACACTGTTACTCAATCGAAGAACCAATAGCTAATCCTTTCGAAGCAAAATATTTTCAATGCCGATTTTTTAAATAAAATTTTACAATTACATTGTAAATGTAACAGCATATATCGATGAATGTACAAATATGTGGTGGCAAAAATGAGCTCTAATTGCAACTATTTTTTATACGTACAAAAAATGTATACCTTTTATATATATATATATATATATATATTTATTTTATATAAATATAATGTTATATAACGTACTAAAAGAATATAGAAAAGAAACTGTAATAATGAAGTAATGTTTCTGAAATGATGAAGAATCAGATAGTCGAGATCGATCTTCCTATACGATCCAAGATGGAGGCTTACGTATTGAAAAGGAATCATAAGGATAACAGCGCAATATATTGACATGCGTACCTTGTATCAAAATAACAACGAACACTCCCCAGACACCCAGGAAGACGGAATTGAAGGGGGCCATTCCTAGCGCTGCGCGGTCTTCGTCAATTGAACATCATTCGGCTCGTTTTTCTGCGACACAGAAGAGAAGGAGAACCAGTTGATTCCCGGGCTGGGCTCGAGTATGCTCGCGTGTCGCGCACCCTCTCACGTGTCCCACCGAGAGCCCGTGGAGGTCGCGACTTTCGCCCTCTCGGGTAACTTCAACAGTCTGAACCACCCACGAGAGACTCCAAGAGCCCGGTAACTCGGGAGAGAGCGAGAGAAACTCGCCGCGTGCGATAACGTAATTGATCCGTCAACCGCGCCGTTCCCCGCACGTCCTATGTACTTTCACGAAAAGGAAAAAGAGGAAAAAAAAAAAGTAGAGAAAATAATCCGCGAGAAGCCACCGTCGTCGGGATTTCTAATCTAATCGTCCAGCGTCACGCGACGTCGACGAACATCGACGTCGGATTTGCATCCTACGCTCGTTCCGCACGAGAGGGTTATCGTCGCACTTTTCGCGAGCGGCACGATAACGCTCTCGCGAATGGAAATCTCGGCAAATTTCGTCAGCTAAAATCTCGCGTCTTTACGATGCGTAACCGCCGAGACGGTCGGCAAGACATCTTTCTCGTTTTCGCGATAGAGGTAGAGGAAAGAGTGCCGCTCTCTTCGGGGTATCCGATCGGAGCAAGAAAGAGGAGACAAAATTCGCAGTCATCGTTGTCCAGCGTCGCTTAAACGGGGGCGGGGTTCTCCCCTCACTCGATCCCCACTCTGGTCCATTCTGGAGTCCACCTCACCCCCGGGGGCTCCTCTCCGCGGCACTCGAGCAGCCGGTTGTATTCTTAGGTCAGGGAAAACTCGAGTGCGCTTCGATCGATCGATCGGATCGCACGTTCCCTTCACGGTTCTTCACGGGTGTGAAGAAGAGCGGAATGCGTTAGAGAGAGAGAGAGAGAGAGAGAATACGTGCTCTCCGCGAGCTCGTGAATTTCAAAGAGCGGCCACTCTTCGTCGTCAGCTGCGTGGTTTCCTCCCTTTTCTTTCATCGCCTCTCTCGTCGCTTTTTCGCCGAGATATGTGTCTCTTCGGGATAGATACTTTTATCGCGCGCGTCGGAACTCACCGCTGAAATATCTCGAGCCTTCCGGCCTCATCGATCGATGTGTTTCGCACGTAGCTACTTCATCCTGTGCTTTAGTCGTCGTCTATCGACCGATACAAGCGGACTTTCTCCCGAAATACCGAAAGTTTGCGTTCTGTCAGTTCTTCTCGAGAGGTGGAACGTTTACAGGAAGATATACACGAGCGCGATAAAAATAACGATTGATATGGATTTTGATTTTAAGAACGGAAATTGCGAAAATAAGTCATTCGAGTCGAAGTCTGTTCGATTAATAATTGAATTCTAATTCGATAAATAAAAATATCTGTAATATATGTAAATAGGAAGAGAGAGGCTTAAATCCAACCCGAGATTAAAGATAAACTCTTGCATCGATAAAACTCCACTCTTTTTAAATCCTCATCGCGCTGTCATTCGATATCATTTTTTTTTTTTTTTCAGCGCGGCAAATTGATTAAATTTTCAAAGCGAAGAATAAGCTTTATAAGCGGATAAAGAAAGTTTCATATTGTTTTTCGTATTTCCGAAGTCATTCTTCTTCTTTTCAAATACCAAATTAGTTTGATATAAAAAAAGCTGTCAACAATAATTAGAAAAGTGTCAATTTATTTATTAATTATTTCTCGTTTTATTCTATTTTGAGCCAATTAAAAAAACTCGTTTATCGCCTAATATTGTAAATATACGTACGAATGTTGCGACATGTAATAATGAAAAGTACAACGAGAATACATTTCCCAAAATATTCTGCTCCATTTCCAGAAGTATATTAGACAATTATTAGACAATGATATCCGGCAATTATTTCTGGTGTTGTTCTACGTAACTGATTTTCCGTGCGACAGCACATCAGTCAACAAAATGATTATACGAAGATGCTATTTGATCTAATGCGATTACACTTAAATTGCCCGTTCTACGATAGATGTGTGTGCCGAGAACAGGAATTTGTCGAATCACCTTTTGATCTCGTTGAACGTAAAAATCGATTTACGAGTAAACTTACATACGTATCACGTACGCGAGCTTACGAGTTTTGTCAGATTTGATCAAATTTAATGACTCGAGTGACCTAAAAAGGGGATTGATTCGATATTTCGCGGGGTGTCTGTCCGGGACCCCCGGGGAAAACGACGCACAAAGGAATCTTGATCGACTCGCGCGCGCCGTATTAGCAGAGTGCGAGAGCATTCGTCTCGAGGGTTGCCTCGCATTTCCAGGCCGAGAGAGTGGCCAAACTCAAATTGTTATCGCCGCTAATCGATTAATCGAACGCTATAGCTACCGCCAGCGGGCTTATCTCGAGCAACAAACATTCCATTCGCGCGTTCCAAATCCCAGACAACGCGATTCTAATGACCGACGTGTATGCGTGCTTCGTTCATACCTGCACAAGCCATCGTTCTCATTTTGTCAACCCCTCTATTGGTTTTTCTCTCTCGTCCCTCTCTCCCTCGCAATTCTTTTTTTTCACAATCGGCTCTCTCGCTTCAATTATCCTCGCGAGCGTCTCGAAATTCCTGCCCTCTCGTACTCCGACACTACTTGGTTCCAGTTACCCCAGGTACCTGGGGTCTGCCTCGCTTCTCATATTTCGTCCGCGACGCCGCGCGTAGCCGCACACATTCCGACGTTATCCTGTCAAAGACAACCGGTTTTACGTGCAATCCGCGGCTCTTGAACGACACATTCGGAGCGGACTGTATACGATTATACGATTACTATGGATCGAGGATGATCGGAAGGGATACCTAAGGGACGGAGAGCGAGAGAGAGTAGGTACACGCAGGTGCGACGGGGGCAGGAGCGCACGCGAATCGATCGCGGGGGCCGCGACGCGAAACGCCGCGACGCGGCGACGAACCTGAAGCGGCCGAAAATTCGCGTGACGAGAACGAAATGCGAAATGCGGGAAGAGCGCGCGAAATCAATAAGCGGCGATCGCCGAGCGTTCGAGACGAGTCGACTTGGCGCGCGCGAACCGGCGAGAGTTCTACGTCCCCTAGAGGAATCATCGTCCGATCCCCTCTCCTCCCAACCCTCCCTCGCTACGGATAGAGAATACTGACCATGGACGACGAAAGGAACGACGTCTTTCTTTTCCTCCTCTTCCTCCTTCTCCACCGACGCACCGCTTCTTCCACCGCTACTGACCGCTTCGACCGCGGCCACGGTGACCACGCAGGCCAGCCACCTCTTCTTCGAGGAGGAGGACGATGCCGTCGGAGGACGATGTGCCGTCGGGGTAGATTCGCGGCTACCCCGAGAGCAGCTACCCTCTCTCTGTGTCGGTGTCTTCTATTCCCTCGTATAATAGTAAGCTTCCTCTTCCTTTTTTTCTCGCCCCGATCGCGGAATAATTTGGTTAAAAGCGCACGGCGGTGAAGGAACGACGAAGGAGGAACGACTGCCCTACGAGGCAACTGTATACGTCCCTCCTCGCGCGTCCTCGCAACCCTCTCCGTTCCGGCGCACGCGCCAGGTGTCGCTCGCGCGCGCGCGCGCGATCTATCTCCTGCGTTCCTCCTGCGCGTCTGCCCGCTCGCTCGTTACGTTCGCGCTTGTTCGGTCGCCGCATCGACGCGTCTCGTCGCGTCGGTGGAGGACGAGCGTGCCTCTGTTTGCTCGCGAACATCATCCGAGGGACGATACGTCTGCGCGCATTTCGGATCGCTCGAATTATGGCGAATTGACCTATTTGCCGTCGGCGGGGAATCGCGAGAGAGAAATCGCGGGAGAGACGCTCCTCGCTGGACGAAGAGAAACATCCGGCGGATAAGGGTTGCGATGTTCGAACCCGCACGCTCTCTTTGTATGCGAGCGACGGCGCACAAACGGCGAGGGTTGTGGAAAATCTTGGAGCGTACCCTACCCTCTGCCCTACCCCCGCGCGCTATCGGATGTTTCTTTTCTTCTTGGGACTTGCCGCGCGTAACCAGAGCGCGCTATTATATCGGGCGTTCGGTCGGTCGATCCCGGGGTTGCTCCGGAGAAGTATGTCAGGAATTTATAGAATCCATCGGGGGATATCGGCGAACTGATCCCGTCGCGTCTGGCTATTTCTCGGACCGCGGCCGCAAACGCGGATATACAACTTCGGGAGCCGGATATTTGACATAATTATCGCGCTGCGAAAATGAGATTTTCATCCCGAGCTGGATTTAGAAAAAGAGAGAAAAAAGAATAGACATTTTTATACGCATGGATCATTAATCGTGCATAAGTTATGTGACGAAAGGACAGATTTTGCAGAGATATTTATGCATTATATTAATTCGATAATGTATAGAAGATAGAATTAATATCGGTATCATGTTTATATAATAAGTTATCATATATATTTATATCCTATATAAATAGATTATTATGATAATAATTGAGTTATTATTTAATTTTATATACATATATATTACTATAATAATAATTATTGCATTAACGTATAATCGATTAATTAATACGATAAAATTAAATTATACTATTCGCGTTATAGAGAAACTACTTAGAGAAGACTAAATTTAATTCAAGGAAGCTGACTCTCTTTCTCGTGTGATAAAATTTTGCATGTCTGAAATAAAAGTTTTATATTTAATTCCACGTTCTGGTAATATCGCTCTACCGTATATAGAATCTCGCAAAAGCGCTCCCATTTCCGCGAGTTTTCTCGAGCCGGAGAAGAGAAACGAGAGGAGGCTTCTCTCGCTCTCCTCGCAAGAATGATGTCGGCGGCATCGTCGCGCGCTAATCCTGTCATCGACATCGGTTCGCTCGGAACTTTACGGCGGGCGACTTCCGGCCTTCGCCGGAAGGGTATATCGATAGACATATCGGGACGCGAAATTACGCTCGGGGATCCTCTGGCGTTGGCGTTTCGAGGTCACCGGGCGCCCCCGCCAGGATCTCTCTCTCTCTCTCTCTCTCTCCAGCACGCGGATACACCGAAAAGCCCCCCCTGACTGGTCGACTCTACGCGGAGGCGCTTATCGATTTTCAAAGCGGCATTGCTCCCGCGAACGCCGCTCGCCAGCAGGTCGTCGTCGTCGTCGTCGTCGTCGTCGTCGTCGTCGTCCTCCTCCTCCTCTTGTCAGACAGAGAATCGAAACGAACGAGAAAGAAAGAGAGCTTTCGGACGATTCGGCTCGATGCACACGGATACACTCTCTCTGTCCCGCGGCTGCACCTGATTGCCCATTGCATATGCACGCCTGTTTGGATATTGGATTTGCCGCGAGACTTATGCTCGAGCTTTACTCTCTCGCGCGTCTGTATGTCGGCCCAACGTTATACACAACGACGACGTCGCGTCGCATCGCGTCGCGTCGGTGACGACGATTATGGGTTATCGATATTGCAAACTTAGTCGGGCTGGTATGGCTCATGGATATGCAAAAATGTAAAAAAGCGCTTCCCCAGACAACGCGCGGGGAATGTTTGGCCGGCTGATCGTGTCACCCTGGCGTGAGCAAACTGGTTTGCCTCTTTCGGGGACAGGCGCCAAGAGGCGCGCGCCGGGAAAGCCTGCCTATGGTCTATCGAACAAATTCGGAGAGCGAGTGTTTTTTGGTCAACGTCCCCGATGGGACGTCTAACGACGAAAGGGGCGGAATAAAAAACTAGGGAACTCTGTGTAGGAAAGATGTAAAAGGGAGGAAAATTTATGAGACTATCGCGAAGCACAAATGCAAATATTGGAACGGAAAGAAGCAATGAGAATATAATGCGTAAATATTTGCTTGTTCATTATGAAAATTGTCCATCTCTTTTCGTAAATTCAATTATGTAAATGTAAATGAGCAAGCTTTTTCATCGATTAAACGGATCGTTCGAGAAATATGCGAGTTTTACGCGTCTCCATTAAGATTCTTTGTATATTTATTATATGGCCGCTTCTCTTCAATTCTGCTCTGACTAACGCGGACGTTTTCTACTTACGCGAGATAACGGTTTATCCTTGCCAAAATATATTGAAGCAATTAGTCGCGTCATATGACATTATGTTCTGTCAAAACTTTGGACAGGTTTAGAAGCGTTATTAACGTCTACAACGTTTCTATATCGTATATATTTTGCGTTCTAAAATGTTACTATATAATTTACTCGACTCGAAAATACGAGCTACATGATGATTACGTTGCAAATTTTGGAAGTTAAATTAGGCAATTCAAGCATCCTACTTTCCTATAGAAAGAGTGCTAAATATCTGTCGGAGAGAGCTCTCTTCTCTTCAAATGATCGTTTGAACGCATAATTGCTGTAATTAGGTACTACAAGCGTGGTTTATAAATAGTGGTTCGTACATTATTATCTCTAACTGTAATGATCTAATTATGTACATTTTTTTATTTCGTACACTCGTTAATCTGGCGTAAACATCTCACAGAATCAAATAGAAAGCGAATGAAAAAATGTGATAATATAAAAAAACCAATTTATATTTTTTTTCAATAATAATTATACGAATTACTTTTTCTACTAATTTTTCAAACCGTGTTAAATTTAATTTTGTCCGATTAATTATAATACTATAAAAAAAATTTTTTTTTCAACATGTATTTTAACGAAATGTTGCATACAAATATCAATATGACTGAAATGGCAGATTGATGAAAATTAACAATGATATATTTTGATATATTTTCGACTTTTTTATTCTATAATTCTTTTATGGATTATTTAGATTATTTGCCTAAATTGAAACAAAAATATAAGTAATTGAGATAAAAAGTGATAATTAAAGTCAAACATGTATTATAAGTATATAAATATAGCATATGTTTTTTTTTAGAAATAAATAATGCATTTTACAACTTGAAAATAAAAGAATATATATATATATTTTTTTTTTATGTATATAAGTAACATACAGTGTACGAATATTTTCTTTTTTCTGCTTCTAAATCAGGGAATAATGATAGGTATTCTCGCTCTGCATGCAGATAGTCGGAAGGCCAGACGTTAATCGAAGTCATGGGTAATGTCCGGAAAATTACCTAGACATCCGAAATATCACACTAATGTGTAGACAGTATTCCTCTCAAATATTCACACAAGAGGTTGTAGAACAATTATGTAACAAATTAATAAATTGCATCATTATAAATACAAATAAAATGTTTTAGAATTAGATATAAAATTTGCTTATGTAAAATATTAAAAAACTGTAAGAAATATATATATATTTATGTTTTTCGAAATATTCCTAAATTAATTCTATATTTACTGAAACAGTAAAATTAAGACTTTGTTAAACTGCTGTAATATAATTTATATCAATAAGGATTCTCTCGAGTTTCATCAAAAAGAGAATATTTGTTTTATATATTCGAGCTTTCAATTTTAAAAGGTCGTGAAAAATTATACATTGAATTTTATCTTATTTTTATATCATTTATAAAGCATTATATGCATTTATGTGTGTGTTTCCTTCTTTCAATTTCAAATTACCACAAAGAATGTCTCACCGAGAATTCCCAATCGCGATCCGCTCGAGTATGCGACAATAATAAGCAGTAGCTGCAATATAAAAAGAGACAGTCGTTCCAAGTTACTTCTTCGTGAATAGTGGCGATAAAACATTCTTTTCAGAGAAGTCGAATACAGAAACGTCGTCAGTCGCAAAAATCCAATAAGAACGGTGTTCGTAAAGCGATGCGGAGGCAAAGAAAGGATTACCATACCGACGAGAATAATGCACGTTATGTCCTGATGGAGAATTATAACGGCGGATCTCGTCACGTTCTTGGAACGTAAAAAAGATATTATTTTCTCGGCTGTAATTATAGGTAAGATTGCGAGGATTATTAAATGTCCAACGATGATTTTCGCTATTACAATAATATTCCGCGCAACGATTCATCGATTCAATAATTAAACATCCAATCGTTGTTCTCGATACCGTGGTGGATTATTCGCGCAGCGTTTATAAAAGTAATTAAACTCTGATTTAAAAATATTGTGAATCAGTCTATTTTACTTTGAACCATTTCGAAAAAAAAAAACTTTTTGTTTAAAGTCTAAAAGACAGTGTGGCCTATTTCATACATCGTATACAAGTGCATTATCGCGCCGAGCGCAATGTTCCTTTATGATGTTTCTCCTCCCCAGTAGTTACGGACTCGCTTGAACAGACAAAACACGCGAGTGCACATTTATGAACTCGATGCGCGCACAGAGGCGAGCCTAACTTGACAAAGAGTGCCGGCGTCGGGAGTAAAATGCAGAGCGATATAATAGTGCGCGCCAGACAAATGTCGATGTGCGAGCAACAAGTGCCGAGAGGGCCGTCTACTTCTGACAATGAGCAGGAAATCTGGCCGGTTCTCCACGGATACGTGAGCAAGTAGGGGTGTAGGGCGCGCGCCGGTCACAAAGAGGCGTTGCAGTCACAATTAGCGATCACGCAAATTCAGGTCTCGTTCCATTCAGAGACAGCTGTCTTT